AAACTCTCCTTTACGCTGAACGAAACGCTTGGAGAGCCATCCACAATCTGGTTTACGAGGGCAAATCGCTCAAAGAGGCCATGATGGAAGTTCGTGCTGATGCCCTCTTCTGGACAAGGGAAGTCTACGACTACGAGCGCGTGCCTCGGCCTGGGGAGAAGGGTCCGAAGGGCACTCCGAAGGGTGAGAAAGGCACTCCCTTCGCCAAAGCCCCGGGCAAGGGGTCCTGGAAAGGCAAGCAAACCTGGCCAGCGTACCAGCCTGTGTATCAGCCCTTTCTCAAGCAGCCCACCAAGGGCAAAGATGGTAAGAAGGGCACGCCCAAGGGCAAGGGCAAAGACTCCTGGCCGCAGTCCTGGTCCAGGAATAATCCTAAGGGCACCCCCTTCTGCCGAGATTATCACATCAAGAAGCATTGCCCCGGAAACTGTGGGCGCTCCCACAACTGCCCGGTCACTAAAGAAGGTTGGGTGTGCAATGCCCCTCCGAATGAGCACAGTCCGGACAACTGTCCCTACAAGTGAGGACTTCCAGTCCCAGGTGCCCTTGGCCCTGAACTAAGAGACGTGCCGGAAGTGGAGACACGTGGTGCCCTCTCCACACCAGGTGCCCTTGGCCCTGAAGGAGTACAGGCACAGACCGCCCCCGCGCCAAGGGGGAACACCATTCATGTGGGCATGCAGCCCTCTGGTAGCGCTCCCTCGGATGACAAGCCCTTCTCTCTTTGGCCTTGGATTGCGGAACATTACCCGGGCTCTCTGCCTGCAAATTGTTCTCCTGAATGGCTTAATGGGGTCCCCGACCGCCTGGTCCGGAGACTCCAGTGGTCCCCCTCCGATTGCACTGCCAGCATTCCTCAGGGTGCCATAATCTTGCCATTCGCGGGCCGTGAGGATGCTTCATCCCTTGAAGCGATCCTCCATGCTCAAGCCCCGGACCTCTCCTCGAGAGTTCTGGCCTTAGATTCCTCTAGGAAGCCCCCTGGTAAGGACCTCCTTAATAACACACTGTTTGGGTCTCTCTGTGCGTCGGCGCTGCAAGGAAGCATCTCCTTTGTGGGAGGATGCCCGGACCTCAACACCTGGGGTTTGGATAGATGGTTTCAGGACTCGGGTACTCTCCAGGCAGTTAGGTCCCGCTCGGCGGAGAACGTCTGGGGGATTGCCGCTCTCCCTGAGGCAACGCTCCACTCGGCGGATGAGGAGAGCACCCTGCTCCTTAGGTTCCTTCTGCTTACTGGCTTGCCTTCAAGGCGACTTCGTCTAATGCACCTACTAAGGTCTTCTGTTTTCTAGAGATGGCTGAGGACCCTGCGCGAGGAGCCACTTCTCCGTCCAAACGACGCTCCTCATCGGCCTGGGCCACTTCGGCTCTGCGTGCTTGGACCTCAGATTTAGGTCTTCGTATTCTGCACTTTGATCTGTGTTCCTTTGGTTGGGTCTTTAGTCGTCCGTCTAGAGCCGTGACGAATCTTCCCCTCCAATCCTGGGAGGGTAAGACCTGCACACACATCCATCACCCGAAACCGGATCGTCCCGTGCGGGGGGACGCTCGACGACCTGAAGCCATGCTACAGTGTATCGCATCGGCACTAGCTGGTAAACTTCGCGACACAGGCTCTCCAGTTAAGGATTCACCGCCGGATCCGGTTTCCCAACTCCTTGCTGGTCCCTCGCTGGGACAGGAGCGTCCTCACTGGGCGGCTCAAGGGTCAGCACCCCCCGGGGCGGCTGTTCAACCCTCCCTACCCTCGCTGGGGGGGAAGCGTCATATTGCTGGGTTTCCTGGTGCAGGTACCCATGCAGGCGATCACTTGCTCGCTGCGACCCCGATGATTGGGTGTGATCGGCCTTCGACGCTACCGCTCTCGGAGAAGCTTACCCTAGACGATGCCACAATGCGTGTGACCCATGGCTTTAAGGTTAGGCCCCTAAGGGATGGTGGAGGTAAGACCTCTCCGGGTAGGACCCCTCCACACCTTCGCAAAGGACCGACGGCTCCTGCTCTGGGCAAGTTCATTCGCGAAAAGGCGGGGCCGTTGGTCCCCTCTTTTCTAGCCTCAACGGCCGCGGGTGCCAAGCAGCACCCCTTCCCGGAATCTGTTCTCAACGAGATCCGTGATTTCATCTTGCCCCGGCACACCCAACCGGATGCTGGACAGCCCTTTCACTTGGACGTGATCAGGAGGCTCCTGTGTGACATCCAAGATGTCGATGCTGAGTATCCGCAGATACTAAAAGAAGGAGTCCCTCTTGGAGTGGATACCCCTACTCTCCAATCTCCGGGCGTCTGGCCCTTGAAGTCGGAACTCATTGGTGAAGAGTGGGACCCGGTGGAAGCTCCACCCCCCACTGGCCATGCCAATTACTCCTCCGCGGACACATTTAGGGAGGAGATTCGGGCCACCTTTGTGGAGGAAACCCCCTTGGGCATGGTCATTGGACCGTGCACCCGCGCCGAGGCAGCGGCGCACTGCCAATGTGCAGAGGACGAGCTCTGCCCCTGCCCCATGGCAGGGATTGATGAGTCGGACAAGATCCGTTCCATCTTCGACGGGTCTAAGGGTGGTGCTAATCTCCGTATACAACAGAATACCGTAGAGAAAACCACGGCCCCGACGGTCATGGACTGCGTCCAATGCCTGCATTGGCTTCGGGCATCTCGCTCTCGTGGGAAACCAGGTGCCCATGGCCCTGATCCTGAAGAGCAGGCAACCCTGGCTACTGCCCCAGGGGCGACAAGCCGAGAACAGGACGGCCCCTCGGGCAACGCAGACTCCAGTGCCGGCTCCGGCCGACCCTGGAGCTTCCCGGGCTCTGACGAGGACTGGATTTTGCTCAAAGCTGATGTTACTAAGGCGCACAGGAGAATCAAGATTCTCCTAAGAGAGTGGCGTTACCAAGTTGCCCAGCTTGGTGAGGAATGGTGGGTTAACACCGTAGGCACCTATGGAATGGCCAGTGCCCAGCTCTACTGGGGAAGGATGGCTGCCATCCTTCTTAGGATTGTGTATGCCGTGTTTCCCGAGGTCGACTGGGGTTTTGTCTTTGTCGACGACTTTGCCTGGCTACTCCGTAAATCGAATTCCCCTCTGCTGGCAACAGCGATTTGTTTGCTGTTGCTTGCTCTAGGCACTCCTCTGAGCTGGAAGAAAACCCTGCTTGCTGAGGTTAATACTTGGCTTGGCTTTGTCATTGACCCCAAAGGACCCTGTGTGCAGATGGCCCGAGACAAGCACCTGCTTGTCATCGGCATTCTTGAAGAGCTTAAAAGCGGTAAAGTCATGTCGGCTTCTCAGATCGCTAGCGCTTTGGGTAGGCTGCAGTGGGCGACAACGGCCTGCCCCCTCACCAAGCCTTTCCTCCAACCCTTTTGGGCTTGGAAGAAAGCCTGCCTGACAGCAGGACGTCCGGGTAAGCTAATCCGTGCGCTCTCGGCTCTGCTCCTCTCTCTTTTTGACCAGAAGTTCCGACAAGCATCGCCGTATGCCCCGCTTGCCATTTGGTCGGGGGCAAGTGATGCTAGCGCCTCAGATGATGGCAGCGCCTATGTGGGCGGCTGGCTCTCTAACGCGGACTCCCCGTCCAAGTCGGAAGTGTTCTGGTTCCACTACCAGGTCACTGCAGAGCGGCATCCATGGGCATTTGACAAGGGCTGCCCGAAAAAGCGCATTGCTGCCCTCGAGATGTTTGGCACACTGATCCTCTCTCACTTTCTCATGGAGAAGGCGCCTGCGTTCATACCGAACCTCAGGCTCCCCCTGGTCAGCGACAACCAAGGGAATGTGTACTCGCTCCTGAACGATAAGTCCAAGAGGATGCCAACGTCGGTCATCCTCATGGAGATACTGTACCAGCTGCACCGGCATGGTATGCAGCTCGCACCCTCCCACGTCAAGCGTGACTTCAACACTTGGGCTGATGATCTGACTCATCCCAACTTTCAAGGTTTCACTCCATCTCTCTGCTTGCCGGTGGAACCCGTGCTCGAGCATTTTTCCCTCATCCGCTCTATCCTGGAAGATCGTATTTTCGACGATCCTTCTGACCTCACCCATGGGCCCGCGCAGGGCGCCCGGTGAGGATGTGGCTGCCTCCTGTACAGGCTTCTTTCTGGACGGCACAAAATTTTGGAACTCTTTTCTGTACAAGGAGGGTTCCCGATCCACAGGTGCCGTAGGCCCTGAAGGAGGGGACCCTCCTGTGCTTCGAAACGGCCTCTTTCTTGGCTGAGGTCTTCGACCGAAGGAACATCCCGGGAGTCGGCAGCCACACCAATCCACCATGCAAAAGAGGGCTTGCGTGCATGGTTTTTGGTGTGCCATTTTCATGCGGATATCTGACATAACTTGTACTTAATTAAAACGCTACACCCAACGCCTAAACCCCACCTAACTGCAGCTCTAAGCCCAAAGCAGAGCATACACCGCAAATCCTCCCTAAGCCCTTGTCGACTCGAAGCCTTATACCTTGTAGCCGTAAACCCCAAACTCAAAAGCTTAAGCTAAACCCAAAAACCCACAACCACCCCACAGGGGAAGAGGAACCCCACACCCCACACCACAGGGGAGGGGGGGGGGGCCACGCTACATCCGGACCATTGACCTTTCGGGGGGGAGGGGGGGGGGCGCTGCGGAGCGCGTGACCATATAAGGCCATGGCCATTCATCATTGTTGCTATGGCTAAGTTAATTATGTATAATTTCTACTATTACGACGGTGGCGACGAGAACGACTACTACGATGACGACTACGACAGCAGCGGAGAAAACCCTGAGAGATGATGAATGAACAACCATAAGCGGATATGGTTGCAAGGTTACACGAGCTGCTACTCACGGTACTCGAACGAGATCGAGAATAGCTGCGAGTACTAAGCATGAACGAACGAGATAGGGGCACCGGTAAGAGATAGCGCAATTTGCCCCGAACCTCAAGTAAATGTAGCGAGCCACATAGTGAATTCTAGTGGTATACTTACTCTTCTTCAAAGCTGTGCAGATGCTCGCCAAGATGCCTGGCCTGACGCAGCAGGCCGGATTCTTCAGGGATGGAGCTGCGGTGTGAGAGCAGATGTCCGGGACGCAGCACTCCAATCCGTTATAGGTTTCGTGGCTTGCCTGCTGGTGCCAATCGTGCATGCGAGCTTTTCCCTAGCTTGTTGCTGTTCTGATTCACCTGTTTGTTTCTGGTCTCTGATCTGGACACCAAGGTTCCCTCCGAAGCTTTGCTCTAAATCCTGGTTTCCTTATGTAGAAGGTTTGTGGGGGATTGGACGACTGGCCAACTTGGCACAAGAGCATCTTGGAGGGGTACCCTCGGACGACTCTCAACGCTTACTTGGGTTCTATCTAGGGACATGTAGAATGCCAGTTAGAAGACCCCTCAGTGGAAGATAGTAATTGCAGCCCATCTGCGCGCTTAGCAGCCCTGACAAGGCTCGTGATGTTGAGCAGACGGTGCTGGATTTGGACCGGGCATCAACTCCTGCTCACAGCGCTGTGTTTGTTTTCAGATGCAGGCGGAACTCGAGAGGCTAGGGCACGGTCGTTTACCACAAAACAGCGGCAGTTGCGAGCTTGCGGCCATGATCAGAAGCAATGCTTCACACCGAGAGCAACTGCTTCGATTTGGCAACTTAAGCAACATGCCGTCAAGTCTTCCCTTTCCGTGCGCACGTGACTTTGCCATGTCTGTGTGCCTCCCTGGGATCTCGGACCAGATGCACAGGGCCACCAGCATACCTCATATCTATGCATGAAGTATTCGAACGATAGCTTTTCTGCACAAATCTGTCGCGGCCTCCGAAAGGTACGAACACTGCAATCTCAACGCCCAGGCAAAAGTACACTCCGTAGTGTTTGTGGTTTGGAGATGTGAGTGGGACGCGTGCGAAAAATGAAGACAGGATGACGGGATATACTCCGGAAGGAGCTTCTAGCGAACTGTAGGAGCATCTGCACTAAGTTGGATAGCTGAGCCTTGGAAGACCAGAAAGCGTCAGATCGCACGCCTGTCGAGGCGGGATCCCACGACGAAGAACACACTTGTCTGTACACGCGCGTTCGACATGTGGATGTCAAATGTGTCTGCTGCACGGCTGAGCACCTGCTTGATCAGCAAGGATCGCATGAGCTCGTTGTGCGAGTAAGGGGATGGAGGACTCATGTTCAGGAGATTCTGTGCGCGATTGACTTGACAGGGACTCTCACGGGAACGTGCGCGCAACAGAACGTCTTTCTAGGTTCCAGCATCCGAGATGCCTGACGTAAGTCACGCCCCACCTGGTTCTTGGGATTGCTGGTGGCAGAGCTGGCAGAGCATAGCTGCAGCCGTAAGGAGATTATTCAACTGATTGCAACAGTTTAAATGATGTTGCCTCTGGTGTGGATTCCGAAGGATCTCAAGAAACGGTTCGAGCTCAGACGGACACCCGAGGCTACTTTGGACTGATTTTTCGTATAGCATTGCAAGCCACCTCTGACATCGCATGTCCCTGTAACAAGGCTCCAGGCTCAAGCCTGATTCATTTTTTGCAGATTAGCTCCAACTGGTGACGTCGAACATAGGACAGGGGGCCTTTATCAGCATCACGGTTGTGATGAGAAAACAGGATGCGCATTGCACCATTTATACCCTCCTTGAGGAAGGGCAATGTCTGCATGAAGCCCATGGCATGAACATGGCTAAAAGGTGCCAGTGGGCATCCATATCCTCCTTGCAAACAAAGACTTGCACATAGTAAACGCGTGCCAAGGTGCTGAACACATGTCATGGCTGCTGTGATAGAGTCGAAGCAGATCAGCACCGTAGTAAGTGTTGCATATCATGCGGCGGTTGCAGTGCACACCGCTGCAGCGATGAAGACCGCAGTCATCGGCATTGTGGCGATTGCATGCGGGGCTGCAAGGGCTGCATCTCGGCGACAGGAAGCCATGCGACGGAGACCCTGTAATGAACCAGCCTGTTCTCTTCGAACGAGGTTGACTTGACACGAAGTTGTCACGGTGCGCAAATCCTGAAAGTTGCTGGTGCCCTGCAGGAGCCGGATGTTGTAGTGCCAGCTTGCATGTGCAGTGGTTTCTGCGGGGTATGCAGGGATGACGGATAGCGACAAGCTGCGAACTTGCGAATTTTCCGTTCAGGATCCGTCGTACTTCGACGTGGAAGAGCTCAGCTGCAATGGCTTGCATGAAAAAGCAGTCGAGAGGTTCCGACACATGTCGAGACTTCCAAGATAGTGTCAGGGCATGTCCAATCCTGGAAATTCCTGGGAAGGTGTTGTGCAGCAGCACCCGCCGAGAAAGTCGTGGCTGTGCTGCAGCTTGCAGCCAGTGGCGGCCTGAGCAGTTTGCACCGGACACGACGCGCTTTGCTGATTGCTGATCTTAACCTGAGACCATAACCGTCAGCAGCTGGCCTCACTGGAAGGGGCCATATCCACCGCTCTGCAAATGACCCATCGACTCGCTTGCATGGAAAACGCGTAGATATCTTGTTGCTGTGCGCTGAAAGCGGCCAGGCAAGAACAGCTTCAAGATGACTGCCGAGGCATTCAAGAGGCGCTTGGAAGATGGAGAGCATGTAGGGCGGTGTGTTTGCAGCTCGTGCGGAATCTGTGGTAACTATGGAGGCGTGTTAAAGAAGAAAGGGCCAAGTTGCAAGCAAAGAGCAAGGTCTAGGAGTGTAGCGGAGTCTAGCATGCAAAGCCCTTTTCTTTTTCTTGGCAAAGCTCGCGCGGTGGCCTGGCTCGAAATCTGCCCGCGAGACAAAGGCAGCCGCAGCCCCGGCACCTTGGTGGTTTCCATGGCGCTACAGCGAAGCATCGCCGATCAGCCGAAGCCTTCAACACACTGTGGCTACGTCGGCCATGAGGTCGAAACGGTGGATGTGCGTTTGCACTGCTTGTGCTTCTCTGTCTGTGGTTCCCTATCAGTCTCTGCTCTTTCAACAAATTCCGCGGATGTGCTGAAGGCCCTGATTCGCTCAGAATGCCCTGAGCTGGTTCAGGTTCCAAACAGTCAGATTCGCCTGCTGCATCGTGGAGTTGAACTCACAGACGAGAATCCCATAACGAAGCACTGGAGGCCAACCCCAGATGAGAAGCAACTGGATTTGCACTTTTTGGTGATTGGTCCCAGCGCAGCAGAAGGATTTCAGCTGGCCCTTTGTGATGTGCCCTGCCCATTGGAGCTTCAAGAGCGGCTGGAGGAATGTGCTCATGGGCTTAACAGTGGAGTCCTGCCAGTTCTTGCAGAGAATGGCTCGGGCGGAACCTATTTTCTCAAAAGCCGAGCCTCAGAGACTCTGGCAGTGCTGCTTGGCCTTACAAGCCTTGGGGTCCGTAGGCATGGCCTTGTGGTGGCTCGTGTTTGAAGCTGCGTTTCGCCCCAAGGTTCAAGCCGAAGGATGAAGAAGCGGGCGCGCCTCAGAATCCGCGCGGATATCCCGGCAAGGAGAACACCCGGCGCTGGCAGACTGCGGTGGCATCGGCTCACAGGGCAGTTCGGGAAGTCGCGGCTTTCTTGCTGGATTCTGGCGATGGCCTTGAAGGGAATGCATGTGTTCCCATGACGACGCTGGTCAGATGCTGACTTACGGAGAAATTGAGAAGTCTGAACTGCTGCATGCATCGTTTTTTTAAAATACTCTGTTGGCTTGCAGATCGCCAGAAGCATGGTTCCCTGGCAGGTCAGATGCCGGCATCAAGCTTTCGTGCCAGTGAATATCAACGGCGATAGCCACGTCGTATGGAAAGTTGGTGCATTTCAGGCATTCGTGCAAGATGCCGAGATGTCTGAAGACTTCGGGCACACTGTCCATGCAGTTCAAGATGTTCACAGAATTGGGATCCTGGATATTCGTATCGTGAACTTTGACCGCAACCTCAGCAATATGACTCTCGACTTGACTGGAAATTGCCCTGACCTGAGGGTCGTGTCGCACCTGTGAAGCATTCCTCTGAGCCGAAGCCACAAACCTGGCTGCTGCTCTCCTTCGCCCATCCGTACTGGCCATACACATGAGCGCTAGTACACATCAGTACACAGAGTGTTGGAATCGACAGCCCTCCCCGAATATCACGATTTCGGCCGAAACACTGCGACTGCAAATTGCAGATGCCAATTCAGTTCAACGTCGCTCACAGCTCAGTTTGTGCTTCGCCTCGGGAATGTTGCAACAATCAGGGAGGGAAAGCTGCAAATGCTGCAGGAAGCGCGTTAATGCATCTGCTACGACAGGAAGCAGCAGCGGATGTAGAACAGTGGAACTGCAAGGCTGAGACGACCCACTGGGCAGAGATGCCTTCCGAACCTGCTCATCAGAGTCCTTGAAATTCTTTGATATAAGTGGTTGATTCCATTCATTGCTAGTCGTCAGTCGCTTCTGGTGTTCTGTCATCCCGTCAGCTTTATTGCATGGTCTCAAAGTCTCAACGTCAACCGCTCGAAACCTCTGCACCGTGGCAACATCATGCTCCATGCTTTGTGAATTACGTGGAGATTTCTCGCCTCTTTCCTCACTTCCACCAACACCCCCACACCCCACACACCCCCACACCCCGCACCAACGCCCCACAAACCTCCACCCCCGCCCACACACACACACCCACACGCTACCACACCCCCCCACCGCTTCCAGTCACTTCCCCTCGTGTCACTTCCGCATCTCCCAAGCAGAGCGCAGCTCTGTTCTCGTTTCTCGATGTCTCATGCGGTTCTGTCCGGTGGTTGCTGAAATCCGAGCTGTAAAGTTCAGCAGCTAAAGACCCTTAAAGCGAATCCAGATTCCCAGCATCTCTACAGCCAAGGCTTGTCCAAGGACGTGGTCACAAGCTTGTTCCCATCGATCACGGCTGTACCTTCCCTGATCGTCTTGACTTCATGCTGTCGGAGGTTGCGTGGTCTTCTTGGCCGCAGAGTAAGGACCCCCCGGGCGTAAGGCGATGTAAGGCGTAAGATCCGCGGGAGCTCAGCCTTGAGGAGCCCTTCGGCGAAGCTGAGCTCGCCTATATCGCAAAGTTGGACGGCGAAGGCGATGCCAGGCCTGGCCTCCGTGTAGTGGGGAAAGACCGCGGCTCGAGCTGAGCCCACACTTTGCCAGGAAGCTTGCGACCACGCTGGGCCTGGAACGGAACTGCCTACGTCTCATGGAGGTTTCGACACTCTGGTTGCAGGCGCCGCCTTGTCGGGAGTTGGTCTTGAGCCGCCTTCTGCTACGGAAGCGGCAGGCAAACAGGCATAGTCATAAATAAGAAAGTAGGACCCAACAGTAGGGAAGGACATATGGGAAGTCAAGCACAACGCCACACTAACTCGCAAAATCATCATGGCAATTATGCAAACAAGAAGAAACAGAGTAAAGCGTCGGATTCCGGTGGAAAGCTCTGTATATTTCCCAAGCGTGTCGTGTCATTGTCACTTTCTCCTGTGTCTTCATCGTTTTCCTGGTTCCAAGGGGATGCTGAAAAACAATTTGGAAAAGTCAAGGAAGAGGACAACATGAGATTTTTGGAGCAAGTGAGATTTCGCACCGGATTTCCTGGTTTTAAAGGGGACAGATAGGCACACTCGAGGACAACGAAGGGTTCTTGCGAAAAATCAGACGCTTCCTATGGTTTTACATTTTCTATATTTTTGAAAAGGGGAGAGTATGAAAACTAAAAAAAGATGACACTCCGAGTGAAATCAAGTTCTCCAAATTTTCTTGTTTTCAGAGAGAGAGAGAGAGAGAGAGAGAGAGAGAGAGAAGGACGGGTAGGAAGAAGGAGTTTCACATATTTCATTATTGGCACTGTTATGACATGTTGTTTTTCACGATCTTACAGCCGCTGTCCAGTTTCCAAACCTGTATTTAAGTTTCACTCTAACCGACTGTAACCTTTTTGCAAGCTCCTGTTCACCGTGCCTCTGTCACAAGCCTCATTGCCCAGGCAACCCCAGGCAGAAGCGACATGCTAGGCTGCTAGACTTTCGCCGAATAATGAGATGCATAGGAAAGAGACAAAGTCAGAAGTCGATTTCGAGCGAGGAGCGAGCCGTGAGCCCTGTTCTGTTGTGGTATGTTGTGGTCTTGTCTGGTCAGTCTGGAGGTTGCTGCATCTCGGGGCTGTACACTGCACCAAATCGCAGCAGCCCTTTATCGAGCAGACGGGCATCCTGAACGACCCAGCAAGGTCGAAGGCAAGGAACCCTGGGACCCTGCACGATGAGACCTGGGAGGGGTGCGAGGGTGCGGGCGTGCCATTCGCTCTGCCAGGCATCGTGCGCAACTGCATCTCCTCCGCAGCGGCAGCGACAAGCGCACCTGACAGAGGCACTGCCACTGAACTGAGTAGCTGCGTAGCTTTCGGATTGTCAATTCTCGTGGTTGCATCCTGATCACCTCATCAGGCAATTCGTTGGGGAGGACAGTGTCTCTTCGTGCTCCAGCTCTTTCCGAGACGACCAGAGACGGTTGCATTTTCAACCGCGTACTCCAAACGGGGAAGGAGCTGCAGTGGACGCAAATGCTGGAGGAATCTGGGAGTGAAAAAACTTTTGGGAATTGTGCCTGCAACAGCAGCCTATTGAAAGGGCTTTCCGGACCAGGTCTTGTCGGCACGACTACTTGAGGCGTCTTTCGTAAGGCATTTTCACTGAGCGGGCAGGAGGTGGCTGGTAACCACACAGATCCGGCCGAATTCTTGGTCCCGCCCACGTTCCATCCCTCTCCCTCTCTCCTTGGTTCTCGCAAGAGGTTCCGGTAGCGATTTGCAACCAGCCCACACATTCTCGCGCCCTCATCCTTTCTCTGTGTCTCGGTGTCTGTGCAAGCTGCTAATTTCAGCTGACAGGATAATTTTCGGCGACATGTTGGAGAGGAGCTGACCAGGCTAGTGAAAGCCATGCAGCCAGACCCGGGATCTCGACTGGCAGAGGTGGAATGTCGAACAATTTGTCTAGATGCGCTATGTCCAAATCGTTCTGAGTGGGCGGCTTTGTATCAGAGGAAAGCAGAAGCAGACAGCGCTCAGGTTTCCAAGTATGGGCTCCCGGTGACGTCTGAGCAACAGTCTGACGACAGCATCTGCCTCAGACAACGCGGATCTTGCCTTGTTGCATTTTCTTGCTACGGTCTGATCCATCAAGACTGTGCAGCTGCAAGCAAGGTGAGGAGGCTGAGATCCCTTTGGTGCGTTCGAGTCGAGCATACGTGCCGCCACATGCGCGTAGGGTGTAACTAGTAATCGCCGTGTACATAGGCGTGATGTTCCATTTCCATCCTTCAGGGAGGTGAGCAACTTCGTTTGCACCGCCGCGCTCAGCATCCGAGGGTGAAGCCCAGCAATCTTGCACGTATCTTCATTGTCATGGTCTCAACGAAGCTACCCGACAGAAGCTCACCACACATTACCAGGATGAATTCAACATGGCCCATGGTGGCCTCACTGGTTTGCCTGCTCCTGATTTTGCTGCACGGATGCGCAATTAGCTCATCATGTGCTAAGCATGGCATCTCATACGGTGTTGGCTCTTCGAAAGACCATTGCTCCTGCTCCTGCGATTCATGTGACTTTTGAGATGCTTTACAGCGAGCTACGCGAGCTTTCCGGTGCTTCTAAGGGCTCCGAGCTCGTTAGATCTGTACAGGCTGTGTACAGGCAGAAACTAGTGCCTGCGGTCGTTGGGCGGCTGTAAACAGCGAGTGTGCCGCCGCTTGGGTTCAGAACTGCCACGTGTTTTGCAGACTTGTGCTCGCTCGTCGTGGCAGGCCCTGCTTGTACCCCGAGCTGGAGCCCTGAAGGCGGCCTTTCGACAGCTCATGCTAGGTCCTCGCACATTTTGCAGTTTGCAGGTGATGCTGCATGACGCTTTGGACTCGCTGGAGTCTGTTAAGCACTTGGTGCTCTCAGGCCGGGGATTCCAGCCCTTCTGCGTCCTGCGCATACGGCAGCCCTCAGCCCTTGCTGTGCCAGGCCTCTGTCGATTCTGCTACAAGGTCGAGGACGAGGATTTGGCAGTCCTAGAGGCCGAGAAAGCTCAGAAAGGAAGTCCTTGGAAGATTTTGAAGTCCTGGCCAGGAACAGCTTACCGCCAAAGGCATTGCCGACACATTGGCAAAGTTCCAGCGCCTGCAGGCGCTTTATTGTTCAATTCTGCCCGAGAATTCGTCCGTTCCGAGCTGTTGCATGTGGTCGAAAAAACTCTCACCCCGCGAAGGAGAACATCGATGAACAGTCTCTTGTCGTCGCAGAGCTTGACGTGGAGAGGCGAGTCAGGGACAAGAGCCAAGAGCGCACTTTACATCTGCATGTACTTTCCTGTCGTAGTCTTGTGCCACCTACGAGCGAACAAAGTTCCTGTGTTGCCACAGCTAGGCACCTCTTTCGTTGTGCATCTACGATGCAGGCGATGCCTACCGCACTATGTTGCAGAGCAGCTCGTTGGGGTCACAGCTGCGAGCTCGATTCCGGTCGTGGTGTCTTGTGCATACAGCGTCTAACGAATGCGCAAGCAAGTGCTAGCAAGTAACAATGCCATGTGCGTTTGTAGGCCTTGATCTACCTTACTGGCAGACCGCGATAGAGTCTCGTGATTGTCCTGAGGTCAGTGTCGAACACGGGCTGGAAGAAGCCGTTGCAACCCAAGTCTCAGTGTGCAGACGAGCACACAAGAGTTAGTTCATTGCTCCCAAAGTTGCAAGTAACAAGAGTTAGAAGATGTTACAAAAAGCCATCGCAGTTGGAACACGCTGACAACCTGAAGCTGGGCCAATGGTGCGAAGGAAGCACGAAAGGAGACACGACTCAGTCACGACTCTTTATTCGTCGATGTTGGCATCTTTCGTAAGGTCGCAGGTTTGCTGCAGTGGCCGTGCATCCGGCCGAATTGCGAAACAGCAGGGTTTTTCGACTAGCCAAGACTAGCTCAGTGCCTTCTTGCGTCCTTTCGACGCCATGCGAGCTGCGTGCCAGGATCGCGCGACGTCTCCAAGGGCCGCGGTTGGCGCGGATGGCGATCCTGGAGGAAGCGAAGACTAAGACAGACAGGGACCCCCGAGTAATTCCTTTTATCTTCGATTTGTTTGTGGCGCTGGGGCAAGGAGGGCTTTTTGGACGACTTTCACGAGGCTGCCGAACGTCTCTTCAGCGGCTCGGACGCGAAGATCCGTACTAAGTAGTGCACAGCACAGAAGACTTTCCTCATCTCAGGTGCCGTGATTGCAGCCCCTGCTCGGCTTGGGCAGCTGCCCAAGCTGCTGATCTGCAGAGAAGCCGCCGGTCTCTGGACTCTGAGGCACCAGCTGGACATCCTTTGCTTCGCAATATCTCCAAGGCCTGTGCCCTTGGGGCTTGCAGGGTCTACCGGCTTGACATCGCGCTGTCGCCAGGAACCATTGGTCCCAGGGTCATCCAACGGCCCAGATTCTGTGGGGCTTGGCACCTGAACTGCGCGGTCTGGGGTCAGTGGAGGACGAGGACTTGTTAGCATCTGGGATTCATTCCTCCTGTCTTTCAGCAACCTGGATTGCAGGATCTCCCGGATGCAGAGCCTGCAAGGACTACGACGCTTCCTCCAAGAATGGCCAACGAGGCCAAACTCAAGAGAACTGATCTGGTCTGCTGCTTCTGCTGCTCTGCTTCGCTGCACACATCTACGAAACCCGTAGCACTGCAGAGTGTGCGTTGCTGCTTTGAGCTGCAGTCTGACCCGACTCCGGATCCGGATGCGGCTATGGGGCAACTACGCTCAAGATTCAGATTACACAGAATAATCGTTGAAGCTTAGTACTGGTATCACGCTAACTGCGATCCCAAGTGCTTTGTGTGAGGTTAGTGGTGTTGATCTCCAATCACACCAGCGAGCAGACAGTTCAGGAATCGGCCACGGTACTGTTTCGAATTGACCTGGTGGACATCGCGTTGTCTGCCCCACATTCCGTCATGAGTCATGAGGTTTCCGGGCAGTCCAGCTCAAGCAGGAACGATGAGTAGAGACATGTTGCGCATAGGACCTGACCAATCGGCTGGAGGGTCCACACTGTCTTTTCCTGGAAGACAGTTGTGGTACTGCATTGGAGGCTGCAAGCTTGTTCCCATACAAGACTCATCACATCTTGAGTATCGTCGAGTTGGTGCAGGCATTGGGCTACAATTGCCATAGCGGCGACCCCGACAAGCATTCGCCTCAATCCGTTAAGCACCCTCCTTGCCTGGCATTCTCGTGTATGCCGTGACAAGATGGGCTATGCCAAGGCCGAAATGTCTTCATCCGACACACGCATCTACTCTCGCGACAATTAAGGCACTCTTGCGGTTTGTTACCGTAGGTCATGTGATTGCTTTCTGGCGCCGTGCTGCTGCTTTCAATGGCTTTCCTGCGTTTTCTGATGCTTTCCTGCTTGGAAGCTTGATGCTTCTGCGTGTTTACGTTTTTATGATTTTCGGCTTCTCTGCGCTTCGCGTTCGTGCTTTTAGAGTTTAGGTGCTGGCTCTGGATTGTATCCAACTTGCAAGCTGCATCTCTGGGCGCTGGAGGCGGTGCGCATCCGAATCTGCACCTGAAGCCCTTGCCTTAGTCTTAAAAACAGAAAACAGCAAGAGCAGTAGCATGGCCCTTCAAACTTGAGATACTTGAGCCAGGCCTCAAGTGGCTTCGTATCTTACACCGAATCCAAGAATCGCAGAGATTCAGGTCCTTGAAGCTCAAAACAGGCCAGCGGCAAGCGCGAGCAGCAGTGTACAGCGACATAATGATCAATGTAGCCCACGATTTGGAACGTCAGTGCCCCTTTGGAAATTTTCACCCGACAGCTGAAGCTTGACTTCGATGCACACTCTGGGCGGGTCAGTGTCTCGTGAGAACGAATCCCATAAACACAAACCTCCGCATTGTCGCGAACTCCCCTGTCGCCAAGCGCCCCAAACGCACTGAACCACGTCCCACGCATTTCAGGAAACGAATTTCGGTACGAGAATCTTTGCCTGCTGTGGTGATCAGTGCTCCGCGGCTTCGTAGACTTTGCAGATCATACATCTATCCCATGTCGTCTTCGTCAGCTATGTCTTGAGACCTTTCTGGCTGCGCATCAGCTGTCTTTGTCCACAGGATATCTGGCCAGCGGACCTTCAACCACACTTCGGTTGGCGGCGGCACGTACGGTACTAAGGCCTTGACACTCATTCTTGGGTACAGCAGCAGTCGCATTCTCCACCTCCGGAAACTGTCGGCATGTGTCGCAGCCGACGGAACACTTCAGCCAAGGCTGCTACTCTGAGTGCCGCCCATGCAGCGTGGCACCTGGGCACCGCAATCTGGGGTTCAGGGCTCGGATTCTGGATCCTGCCAGCGGCCACTTGCTGCTACGTTGTTGCAGGACCCACAGCATCGGTATGGCTGATGGACTTTCGTCCGAGACTGATGATTCTTTGTTGTGAAGATGAGCAGTGTTCCTCAAGCCTATTTTGAGGAGTGTGGAGTTTTTCAGCTCGCGACTTGGAAAGATTCGAGGCCCTGAAGCAGCGTGCCCGGGACTCCCCCTGGCGGCAGCGGTTGAAAGCGTGCCGTCTGCAAGGCACATCTTCGTCTGGGGCTACGTTTGCGAAGTGGTTCCTGCTGAGAGCTGCAGGATTCAGATCGTGAAGGATCCGGAAGTCTTATTTGGCATGGACCCTCGATCAGCTGGACGCCGAGAAAGCCTTCCGGGCATAGCATGAAGCAGCTGCCGAGGGCAGTACACTCGCGAGTAGCGACTTCTGATTGCTTGTGACTTCGTGAAGAACTGCGTCGGTAATGACGACCTGCGATCGACCTGAAACATTGAAGAAAGGTCAGGGGTCTTCAACTGAGTGACCTCCCGCTCTTCCAGAATGATTATAACGCTACGCCGCCCGCCTCGGCTCCTCAGCTGCGGGGCCGGATGAAAGAGGAAGGGGGGGAGCGGGGGGTGGGCGGGGAGCGCGGGGCGAGGGGGGGGCGGGGAGGGGAAACAGCAAAAAAGCAGCGGGAAAAGAGGGGATCAGGAAGAAAGGCCGACAAATCAGGTAAAATGAAGGGAAGCCGGGCAAGGGGTGGCAAATTCATGCAAAAAATGTGTGTCTCGGACTGCAGGAAGGAGGATTAGGTGGAGGGTACTTGAGTTCAATGGTGTTCTGGCACAAGAATGCAAGGTTTGTTGCATAGCTGACAGCAGTTACGTGTTTACATCGCACGTAAGAATCCCCCATTGACACACCCGAATAGACCACTTGCCAAGTGGATTCCCGCATGTGCCAGTGGCAGGTGCGACCGATCACAGACCAAGCGCTGCGGCAGGAAGCTTCTTGAGTGCACATGTCCATACCAGGGTGGCCATGTTGCATGTGGTAGACCCGAGGATCCGGATACCTTGTCCGCACGAACTCCTCTAGCTGGAAGCTCAGTGAAGCTCCAACTTTGGGCGTGCTAGCCGCTAGCCGAGCCTGCAAGGCGGTGCGCATCTCCAAGTACATAGCCTTCCACCAAGCAGCTGTCGTGAACCTCAAGTCGCGTGCGTCTGGACAGCCAGAGCGCGCTGGAAACAAGGACGGCGGTTGAACAGAACAAGCTCCGTGGTTTTGGATAAGAATTGCCGGAATGGCTCCTGTTTGAAAGGCTGCAGGCAATGCGAAGATATTGGTGCTGGGCTCAGACTCGCGCGGATTTGTCCAAGCCATCTGAGTCGCATCCCGTGCTGCAAGTCTACGAGCCGTCGCCACGCAGAGTCTTAGAAGCTTGGCACAGTACCTGCCGAACCCCAAAAGGCAGTAAAGCTAGCGCTGTCCGTCGTGTCGTAATCAGCCGAGTCACAAATTGTTGGCCTAGTCATTGTGATGGAATGTGGTGTTGCAAAGTTCTCGAGTCATCTGAGAAACCGAGTGGCCTTCCGGCGGCATCACGAAAGGAGCGGTGCTTATGACGGGGTCTTATGCCGCCAGGTCTACAGCTGCACACCCTTTGCTCAATGTGGCGGTCATGGTGATCGCCTGAACGGGATCATCACGACTTTCCTGCTTGCAGCCCCGCCTCAGACTGCGACCACAGTTGCACAGAGTTCCTTTTTGAATTGGGGATCCCCGCCCGAGGTGCTGACTGGGCGCGCGTTCTTCATCGACTCGGAGAGCCCTTTACCTTTGCAACTTCTGCTCCAGCCCCGCAGTATCGACTGGCGAGCGCACGCCTCAAGGATTTCCAAGCCATCCCTGTGATGACACGCCATTGGCACGTTGAAGGTCTCCGGTGGTCTAAAGTCAACAGCGCTCCTCTCAGTCAGACTGTGCGCACTGTGGGGACTGGCGACGTTTTGGGTTCCCTAGGCCGGGCTCCGGCACCTGTCCTACCACGACAAGCGCTGGCAGTTCGAGGCGCCGAAGCCTGCAGTATGCACCTGCGCATGGCATGCATGGCGCATCCGCCCTGGCATTGCGCATCACAGAAAAGGCTGACTTGGAGAAGCTCGCAGCCTCTGACGAAGAGGTGCTAGTCATCAACATGTCACTTTGTTCGCACACAGGTCACGCACGCTCGTTCAACTTCTTTCACTTTGGAAGCCATGCTTTTGTGTGCCGTCCATATTCAAGGAACTACCGGATGATACGATCGCTATTCGAGGCGGCCTGCGACGTGACATGCCTCACTGGCTACTGAGTCTACTGGCTGAAGTGATTGCCTGCATGCGGCAGGCTCCGGCATTCCGCAAAGCCGCTCAGCAGCTAGGTCCGAACATTCGCAGAAATCAACAGCAAAGCGAAATATCACCGACAAAGCTTCGCACAGGTTTGCCACATAATTCGCCGCCATTCCTTGCTGCAGAGATCTTTGACGTGTGAGCCCAGCTTGTCTTGCCAGACCTCGACTGCTTGTGAATTGTGTGTAAAACAATGGCAGGCTCTTCGGGCCCACACAACTGCTCCGACAAGAGTTGCATTCACTTCGCACCGAGTAAGCTGCCAAGCGATGTACTTCTAGGATGCCACGGCCGGGGCAAGTCATCTGCTCTCACCACTCTCTCGGCACTCAGAGTGGAAGACAAGGCTTTCGCTGAGGAGAAGCATTGCTTTCATCGGCATCCATCTGCGCCTGGCCCTCGGACCCGGCAGTGGGAGGCGATGCACAGCGCTCCAACTTGGAGGTACGGGGCAAATTGCGTGGGATCCGGCGCGACATGATGGTCCGGACGAATTGCAGGCTGGATTCATTTTACTGCCTATATGCTTCGACTCAGCACTCCCAGAGTACAAGGCTTTCCTGGACTGCGCACGGAAGGCAGAACACGATCTGGGCGATGCTCTCAGCCAAGAGCAGCAAGGGATAGCAAAGGAACTGAGTCGAAATTGCGCACTGTTTTCGTGGAGCCTAAGTGTACTGATTATTCAGATTTGTTCCGCCGCTGGTTTGATCAAGATCTCGACGCTTTAGCCGAAAACACGGATGTACATACCTTAGGACCTAGTACTACTTAGCATATTGAATCGCAAGCGCGGCCGAGTGGCCAAAACCGCGGCAAAGGAATGGTAGACAGCGCCTACATGTTGAGGGTCCCAAGGTGTCATCCTAATCCTGCGGGATTCCTTACCGGGCTAGACTGATAAAGGTGGTGGATATTGGGAAGGGGTTTACTTACCATCGGACATTTCGGCTTCGCAGCGTGAACAGGAAACCGCGCGGGGACAGCAGGTCAGTAGGACACAGGAAGCTCTGGCTCGGGCAGGCCTCGTGTTGGGTTCAGGTCTCGGAGAGCACAACCTCCTCCCCTCCCAGTCCCCCACTTCAAAATTTGATTGGGCTGGGAGGGCAACAGCACAGCCGGCCTCTCGTTTTGGCATCGGCTTCATAACTACCACTTGTGCCCGTGCCTAGTACCTACCAGTGATATCTAGTGACCTTGTGACTGGTAGTTGTGGCCCCCTGGCCAAAGCTTCAAGCAGTCATCAGTAGTTTTAAATAGTTTCGCAAACGGCTTACGCGCCCAGCACCCCAACATTAGCTTCAGCGTGATTCTATCCACTCCGTCCCGGACAGCCTGATGTGCCTAGCACGCTGGTCCTTCAGTCAACGGTCGAGGGGTGGAGGGGCTCGGTCGGTGGCTTCGACTCCTTGCAGCGCGGGCCGGGCCGCCAAAGCTAAAGCGTCGTCGCATCGTCGGCAACGTGGTCTCCGCGTCTTCCTTGTTTGTTTGCTTAGGATTGGATCTGGAAACGCCATGGTTGCTGGCAACGGACTCCAACAGCATCATCGAGCTGGCATCAGAGCTGCCCGAGGCCTGCGAGGAAACTGCTGAAGAACTGCAAGTGTGCTTGCTGCTCACAGGCGAAGACTGGCAAGCTTCGAATACCGGAGGTATCGGGACTTCTGGAACAACGTTTGCGGCCGGCCCACGTTTGCGGCCGGCCCGGGGGTTGTTGCCTTGCAGAGGCACGGGGTCGCGTGCACATCGACCGATCGGGCATGGAGGAAACGTGGGTACCCTGGAAACGCCGCTTAAGTGACTGAACACTCTCGGTGGACGTGCCTAACTGACAAACTCGTTCAGCATTCCGACATTTGTCATTTTTGCTGAGGCTCAGCGGTGCAGCGGCAAATTACGGGGAGTGGCTGCTGTTCGGCCGTGCGGCTGCTGCAACTGCCTTAACGAATCAGTTTCAAGTTTGTTCAGATGAGCTGCCTCTAGCTGGACGGCTGATCAAGGTTGTTCTATCTAGAAGCTACTTCGGCGAAACGGCTGCCGAAGTTGGGCGTGTCCGCATCAGAGGCATGTTTGGAATGCTACTTTTAAAGGTGGAATGCCTCGGCCTGCGGTAGCGGGGTTTTTAAAAAGAAGTATCTAATATACATGGAATGAAATTTCTGAACTCACGAGCAGACAGGAAGTTTACAGCCGAGGCACCCATGGATTTCGCTTTTTGTCTATTTCCCGCTTCGGTTGTTTGCCAGGAGGGAAAGGGTCATTTGGGATGCTTTGGGGTCTTCCTGTGTCAGAGTTGAATAGACGTTCGGGTTTGAGGGAGTTCAAGCTTGTCGGAGTTTCTCAGATGCTACACTTCGTGTTGGTAGCTTGTAGTTCCACTGTCCGACGGCTTGGAAGATGCTACATTTGCCGGAGCGGAACATACTCGAGAAGTGAGAGCAGAGGCTTGCAGAAGGGCTGCTGTCTGAACTGTGGCCGACTTAGCGGCCCAGAGTTCCCCGGCCCCAGAGCCTCGGTTCTGCAAGACTCGAATCAAAAGGGTCTGCGACGTCTGCGATGTAATCTTGCCCTGCCACGCAGTGCAGCAAGCCGGTGTTTGCCAGGTCATGCGTATTTTGCACCCGGAGGCGGCTGCGTACGAACGGATCTGAGCTCCTCCTAGGTCCCAGCAGTTGTGCTCATGCACGCTTGCCTTGCTCTTGCAGCTTCTTCACCCGACAGTGGACTTCTGCCCCGGTGCCGAAGAAATTCGAGTTTCGGCGAGGCGGCTCCAGCCGGGGCCCGGCGGGCTCGGGCTCGGGCTCGCCTCTCAAAGGTCTCCATCTTCGAACTCGTCGCCGTTTCGCTGTTTCGATGCGCGATGCTGCGCGAAGCAGATGCTGCACGCTCAACTGGAAGCGCAAGAAGCGGCCTCCCGTTGCACAAGAATCCGACGGGACTTTGCTTGCGTTCTGGAGCAGTGGGAGCAGATTTGGAAAATGCACCGTGCGTAGTCCGCTGACTTGCCTCAATCTGGTTGATGCCTCCTAGCAGGCTTATGAGAAGCTGATTCATGACGTCATCCAGGGTGAGCCTGGGCATAAGTGTCAATTTCCACAACTGGAGCTTCAAGAATCGAAACAGGCGAACTGCATCATGTCTCAAGCATTTCTGACAAGGAAAGCCACAACTTTGTCCGGCGTGACGAGCTCGAACAGGCCGATCAACTTGCACAGCAGGGAACATCTCAAGAGACTGCCACCGAAGAGAAGCTTCTAAAACGTGTTTAATTTGTTCTACCGGCAGCTGCCTTTCAAAAATGCAACAGCAGTTGAACATGGTAGGCGTGGCGAATCTTCGATCCTTTGCTGACAACTCTGGAGAAGGAAGAGGCCCAGGAATTTCGATACTGCCGTGATATCTCGTGTTGGTCGCCGTGAACGCACTGTGGGCGACTTTTGTCTTCTGCCTGCCTCCAGATGCGAGAGCCGGAGCGATACACCTTGGGCAGCCGGGGTCCGCTCAAGGTGCGACGGCTGCAGTGCTCAGTTGCCCGACAGCTTGTGAATACGTAACAAACATCGACAAGTCCTCCCACGGCATGTTTGAGTATGTTGGACCCAGCCGGATGCTATGCGAGTTTTCGAAACGGATCATTTCTCGGGCTGATGGTTTGCGGGTTTTAATTTGCTCACCCTCTAGTGTAGTGTCCGTTGCTAGGCCGTCAGCAAACCGCGCTGTCGGATCAGCCACCGCTCATAATTCATGATGTTTGATAATGTTAGTTCATTCGTGCCATCAAACCCTTCACAACTCACAGAGGCCCGCCGAGCAACACGCACAGCAAAGTGCGCTCAGCAGCTGCACAGGCTGACATGCTGATCGACCGCATGGGCTTCAGGTTCACCTCGTTTTCTGTCTCTCTCTCTCTCTCTCTCCCTCCCTCCCCTCTTTCTTTGTTGTTAGAGGCAGGCAAGTTTGCAACGCAGATGTCGGCCATGCATGGCACAGGCGGTACACAGTCACAGGGGTGCCCGGCTTCGCAGAGGATGATTTCGATTGAGTGGGACCCTTGCCCGCAAGGGTCTTGCAGTGTGCCATAGTGTGCCGCTACAAGCAAGGCTGTGCAAAAGCGAAAGCCGAGGCCGAGGACAGAGGTCTGCAGAACGCGGAAGTGAACTTGAAGATCCTCGAAGAGTCCGGTTTCGCTGGACCGCAGGTATACAGCCCTGCCACAAGCGACAAGCGGTCACCATCGGCCGCCGCGTCGCCAGCCGATGAGCCTTCTCTGCCTCAAGCAACTGAGTTGCCCTCGGAGCGGTGCGGCCTCGCACCGAAGCCGGAGATCCGGACCGCAGCACTTTCATGTATTCCAACTTGGACGACTTCGGCTCACCGATGTATTGCAGCTCCTCTCGATGTCCGAGTCTACTATACGTCGCTTCTCTGAGGGAGGAATCCCCAAAAGCTTCAGCTGATTCAGCACACCAGCCTACAGTTCTCAAAAGGGCTTCTGCAACTGCTGCCGACCACCTTATGCAGCTGCAAGCTTGCTGGAGCCACTCGTGTCTGCGTGTGTGGGGTGGGTTCGGCTCAAAACTTCGTAGGTGGTTGACCCTGATTCAAAGCCACACAAGGTCTGTAGCCGGCAGAGACTGACTGCACCAGAGGGGCAGAGAGGCACAGGCCCGGCCTGCAATAGTTGACAGTCTGTACATGGCACCGACAGCGAGCGATGTGGCCAGTGAGTGGGCGGAGAAGCGCAGAGCCAAGGCAGGAGGGATCGCATGCGATTTGCAGAGAGATTGCGGCGACTTCGCGCGAAACGTCTGGGTGTCTTGGAAGGATAGCGTATAAGAATCAGGAGCCAGGAGTGAAATGGTAGGCAGAAAGAAACAGAAGCAGAAACAAGGATGGGAGAACAAGGAAGGCGCGAAGCCGAGAAGAGACCGCTTCGTGCGAGGTCGAGGCCGCCAAGGCGAAGAAGGCGGAGAGGGAGCAAGGCGAAGTGACCTCGGACCACACCTTCAAACCCAAGACGAGGCGAGGCGGACGGCAGCCTCAGCCTGTTTCTATGATGCTCTGTGCTCTGGAAGCGCTCTCTAGCAGCTCATGCCACTGCAGCCTGACAAGCTCAAAGGTTCCCTCCAGACTCGAAGGCTCTGACAGGAGAACACAGCCATGGCGGGCCGCCCGATTCCCAACTCCCTGAAGAAGCAGATGCAAAAGGCTACAGCCGCTTGACCAAGTGTGAGGGGACTTAGGGCCCATGCGTCTGTGCCTGTCACGAATCGCACCAACATGGGCTCATCATTCACCGCAACACCTGGATGCAAAGGTGAAGCACACGGACATGCCCAACGACATGAAGACCGAAGTTGTCGACATCATTGCAGGCAGTGCACTTATGGAGCCATTGGTTGAGCAACTTGCTTGCTGGCACGTGCAGGTTCGATCGACAAGTTCACATTGCCAACTGGTGTGAACTTTGAAGGGGCGACCCGTGCGATTAAGGCAGGCCTCTACTTATGCTGAGGCGTCGGGCAGTAGACCAGCTTACCACAGTCGGACAGGATGCCTTAGACAAGAGCTACGGCTTCAATTGGCACTGCGCCATGGGGAAAGGGTGACACAGCTGCAGGATGTAGCAGATCAGTTTAGCAGCCCTAGAAAGAGTCAGCGTCACTATTCACGCCTCAGGTTCTGCTTCGACGTCACAGCACAAAACGGAACTTTGATGCACTGCCTTTCAGATCGCAGTTGTGTGTAAGGGGTTTTTCAGTGGCTCAGAACAGAGACCCTGATCTTCCGAGGCTACTACCAGGGTGAGCTGGCCATTCTGGTGTACAAGTGTTGACAGGGCTGCGTTTTGTGGCCTGGCCTCGGTGTGCTGATGCCACTGCTGTTCAGGGGGCGCGGCATCCGAGCAACGGAAGATGGTGTACAAATCTGCAGCATGCAGCCGATTCTGTGCTCCAGTGTGGTACGAAAGCATTGAAAGCCTTCACATCTAAGCACAGTGCGAGATGGAAATAGCCAAAGACTATGGGGCTGGTCACGTATGCACCTCGACGAATTCACACTCATGTCTCACCTCACCGGATCGAGAATATCGGTCGCAGACTTGTCAAGCAAAAGTCTACTTGTGCCTGACAATTCTGGCTGTAAACCTAGCGGCGGCCATTCCACCATGCTCGGAGCCGTGTCGAGGTCAGGGAAGCTGCGAACCTCTCTCTCCGGAAGCGGCAAGGTCAGCGCCTGCTGTCCCGATGCTTCCACTCTGGTAATGCAGCTTGCACCTGAGACCAGGTTGCCCCGGTCGAAAAATCTGATTTGACATCGCCAGTTCTGAGACGGCATTGCTGGCGAGTTCCTTACATTCCAAAGGCTGCTAATGGGATGGTAGTCAGTGTGATTGTCATTGGATGTGCAGCGTGGGAGTCGCGGAGCCAGGCGTCCTGGCGACGCCGTGGCCCTGGCGATGCCGCAGCCGGAGGCTGGCAGCACGGAGAGTCTACGTGGGAGGTTCGGCACCTTGCTGGAAGGTGTCGAGCAGTTTGCAGGCCACTGCGGAGCGGAGGTGTGGCTGCGAGATCAGTTTGCTGCAAGTCGGCCACATTGCTGTTGGGAGCAGGTTGACGGACAGCACTCCAGAAAAGACGCTTCCAGCTACCATCCCGGCAACTGCGATGCAACACAGAGTTGGAGTTCTTCATTCGGCTCTTCGTGGTGTTGCAAGTCGAAGCGGACTCTTCTCGTGTGTCTTTCTGTGGTGGACCGCTTCTAGTCGCAGGGTTTTGATCGGTGTTGCTGGCTGATGCTCCGCCAAAGGCTCAGCCGGACAGGTCTGGGCGGTCTCAGGTTCGGTACTTGGCCGACTTTGCCGCAAAGCTGCTACAGCGAATGCATAATGCATCATAGTGCAGCCTGTCATGTGAAGTCTGAGGCACAAGCGTCCTTGACCCGGAGATCCGAAGGACTTCCGCAATTCCGCATCGAAGTTGGCATGACAGTGGTAATGCATGTAGCATTGCTTGAGGGTGTGCTCCAAGAGTGACCTCGGGCAGGAGAAGCTCGCCCAGCACCGGCACCAAAGACTTCGGTGGCGAGGGCGAAGAAGGCAGCAGTTGCGGCGCAGATGCGGCATGGTGCGACGCAAGCACAGTCTTGCTGTAGCCCCCAGGCCCCTCCTCGCCCAAAGACAGAAGGCTGGGCCTCGCTTTTGTGAGTTGAAAACTCAGAGACGAAATTTTGACTTTGAGCTGTTTTGGCTGGTTGCTGGACAGCACTGTCTCAGCAACGGTTGCAGAGCTGTGATGCTGACAAAGGCTGGCAGTGAACTGCACCTGCCTGAGACGGGTTCTTTAAAGAGCCCTTGCAGTCCCACGCGGCCAGGTGTCACGAGAGCTTTCGCTAAGTCATCGGGCAGCTCCAGCAAGCCACTGGTGCGCGGATGACATGCAGGGTTTGCAGTGTGTGCCACAGCCGGGTTGCGCTACAAGCCTACAGGATCAGCAGGAGGGTACTCTTTGCAGGCCGGCTCGCCTCGCACGTCTCAGCAAGGCCACTTCCGAACGATGCGTCCGAAGTCTTACAAGTATCATTGCAACACGGTCTGCAGAGTCTGTAGGCTCTCGCTCCGTGGCAAGCCATTCCAAAGCCGAGGCAGTCCGGATGTTCGTTGGAAACTGGTCACCCTCCCCCGAAGATCCCTTTTGTGATCTAGAAACTTTACATTCTCATGAAAGTGATAAACACCCCAAAGGATTGTTGAAAACACATCTTTAATGTCGGCCTGAGGGCGCTCAAGATCCACTCCAGCCTGTTCATGCCTGTTCCACCCGAAGTTGATTCTGCGTCACCTTGTGGGTTGGTTCTCAGGTGCGGGATCTCACCCCCAGAAGTGATGTTCCATCATGGCCACGAACGCCTGGGGCCCGCTAGTCCTGCTGGACATGAGAGCCTGACTAGTTTTGTGGTTTGTTCGTGGTGTTGAGGCTTTTCCAGGTTTAGCATCGGGTAGTTGCGACCTGCATTGCTCCCTTGCCATGGCTGAACCTCCCGGACTCCGGGGACGGCTCTGGAAGATTGTGGGTGGTGCGGAGAAAGCCGGTGTCCTGGTTCGTGAAGGCGCTGACTGCTTTCAGAGCGAGCTTGTGGGGTTTGGGGCCGCTTGGAGGTGCAGCCCTGAGCTCCCCCGCAATGGCGCAGCGCTTGCCGACCGGGGCCGTGGTCGAGGAGATCGCCCTGCAGGAAAGCCGGCTCCAGTTCAGGTGGGAATCTCACTGTAGAGTCTCAGAGGCTGAAAGAAGAGAGACAAATGTGACAAACTTTGACTCCGGTTCGAGGCTGGTTTCCGGCTCGGGTCCGCCGCAGGGATGGATCAGCACGGAGATTTCGAGCCGGGCCTTGGCTGTTCGGCTGCCTCGAGACGGAGACGGAGACGGAGGCGGAGGGACGGAGAGGGGAGGGAGGCTGAGAGAACAGGAACAGGAAGAGCGTGGAGCAAGACTCCTCGAGAAGGGGACAAAGCATGTCTCCAGCTGCTTGTGCGATACGGACAACTTGGAGTTCTTCCAGGTCTTGAAGGAGGAGCTTTCACAAGGCCAGAGGCTTTTCAGCGGTAACTGGAAGCCCGGCAATGATGGAAAATGGAAGACTCCCTGGAGGAATGGCCTCGGAAGCGAACAGGTAGTGGACTCCAATGGCCGCAAACTTCCTGGCTTGGCGAAGACTCTTCACAAACTGTGCGAGCTATTCCACGCGGACATGCTTCAGTGGTGGGCAAACTACTACGAAGACGGCTCTGTGGGCTGTGAGTTCCATCACGATGGCCATGCTGACTTTAACATCACTGCCGGAGCTTCCTTTGGTGCAGCTCGATATTTGACGTTTCAGCACGAACATTCCCAGCTGGAGCGCTCGTACCTCCAAGAAAATGGTGATGTCTTTGCATTCGATGCTCAAGTGGATCAAGACTTCATGCATGGCGTTTATCCGGTCGATGCAGACGTAGGCGCGAGGATTTCCATCATCATCATGGGCCGAGTTCGAAGCCAAGGTCTCCAAGGCCTCCATAGCAACTTCGCGGAGGACCAAGCCTCAAACCGCCTGGAATTCGCCAAGACTTGCCGGCAACGGCTCCTGCAGTATCAACAGCAGATCGCAACGCAGGACTGCCTCGTAGGGAACTGTCCGAAATGCCAACCGTGGATGGGTTCAAGGGATAAGCCTCATGGTGGTACTAAGCACGCTACTTCATGCTTCCACTGCACAGGAAGCCAATCTCAAAGCCAAGGACCTGTGAAACGTTGATTGAAGTATCGGGGGCCCTCTTTTATGTGTTTGCTTCTTTGAGACTGTGCGTCTGCAGGAGGCTGCGATGGAGGCTGTCGGTGGGGCCGGGGAGGACACTTCGTTGGTTTTGTTCCGCATCACGTGTTGTTGGCATACTGCAATTGGTTGCAATGGTGCCGCGGGTATTGCAGGATTTGTTGGATGCGGCATACGAGGTTTCCTCTGAGCATGTGGCTCTTGGTCTTGACGATTGGTCTGGAGTTCGTTTGTTGTTGCATCGCCCACTGCAATATGAAACTAATTACCCCGTTGCCTTTCTGAGGTGTTATCAAGCCGAGTGGTTGATTTGCTCGCGCCCTTGTTGCAAAGACTTTATGTTAGTGAAGCAGGAGATTTAGTTGCTGTTCGTGACAGGACCAGCTGCAGCAGGTTTCTTCCAGCATGAGGTGTCGGGGCAAGATGTAGGATTGATTGTTGGTGGCCAAGATTGCAAGCTGTGGACCTCATGCGGCAGATCAGCAGGCCTTGGGATCAAAGTCAGCTGGCCAGACTACAGAGCGATGCGCTTCTTGCCATGAAGCAGCAGTGTGCGACCGAGCTTCGTCAAGCAGATCTTGCGCAAGACACGAGTCTCAGAGAGCATCTCTTCGCACGGTGAGCTATTTGGCGCAAACTTGGACTAGGCAATCCACCCTCCGGGCGCTCAAAGAGATTTTCAACAAAGAGGCAGCGCCCGATTGGTCTATGTCGGTCTTCTTGCGTAGCGCGTTGCTGTCCCGTGCACAAGGTAAAGCTCCTGAAGCAGGCTAAAGTCCATGCAGCCCGCTGAGAATGGGCGGGATGGCGATGCGCGTTGAACATCGAGCACTTGCAGTGCCGCAGCTTGCACTGACTGGCATCGTGTCCAAAGTTGGAACCAACCTGAGAATAGTTGAGGTGCAGAAAATGACAGGGATTGATGTTCCGAGGAATGAGCTGTCAGTTGAAGAAGGCTTGATTGGCCAGATATCCAACTGGTGAGACGACGATCCACAAGTCCTCTGCAAGCTTGGTGAGCGTTGGCAGCGTTGCAATGCCATTCCTGGCATGGTCAGTCCAGGTGCACACCGAGCCGCGGAAGCCGATGGCCGATAGACTTCAGAACGAAGCACCAGAGAGGGGCCGATCTGGAGCCATCCATGAAGGTCTCGTACGGTCCGACGATGTCGCATGCATCTTGCAAGTCATGTTTTCGATGCTTCCTGCGAGCGAATATGCCTCGACAGTCGATACAGCTGCAAATGGCATCGTGCGCGACGGCAATCTCATGTTGACTGCGAGGAAAGGGCGGAAAAGTGTGTTCACAAGGATTCGTCAGGCTTTTCGGTGTGATACGACAGAAACCAAGGCCAGGATCATCTGTGTCTTCACCAGCTCATGCGGAAGGTGGTCTGCGGACAATTCACATGCAGCGTTACTAGTTGCTAGTGCCATTGTCTCCAGATGCCATGGAGGCTCCTTCTGCTGGAGGGACATGGCTGCTGGCCTGGGAACGCTGCATGCAGGCCAGGCGAAGGCCTAGCACAGTCTACGATGGCAAAGCGCGTGCCTCCAGGCTCTGAAGGTCATGCCGAGCCACAGGACAGCATAGGACATAGCTCAGCAACTGAAGCGAAACAGAAAGCAACCTTGTCGAACTCAGGGACAGGACATGCTCGAGGCGCCGGGGCATGAGTTGCCAGACAGCAAGAAGACATTGACATGTCAATTTGTCAGTCTTGGACTCCTGCCGGTTCATTAGAGGACAGCCTTGGCAGTCCCAGATTCCGATCGTGCGGAGGCCCGTCTTCTGAAATGTGTTTACAGATCAATATCGGTACAGGTAAACTGCTGCAGTACGACCATACTTTTTGAGACAAATGGGTTGGTACAACTTCGACTCCAGTGGCATATGGAGCATACAGCCTGAGCTTTGGAGCAGGGGGTATGTATATATATATATATATATATATATATAATATGATATGTACACACACACATACATACATACATACATACATACATACACACATACACACATACGGACAAATAAATGCGTCAACAGATAAGAACAGAAATATATATATATATATATATATATATACAGATAAAGTATAAATCAATAAATACATGTGTATAAATATATATATATATATATATATAAAGCTTTTCAACCGGCACAAGACCATCTGTTCCTAAAAATCTGGCTTTGGTAGGTTGGAGTTTCGGGATCAGTCTCGTCGCTCGATAGAGCAACTGTTATCGGGTGATGCCGTTGCGATTCGGCTCCGTGCGATCGCCGCCCGGAACATTTTTATTGAGCTTTTCATCGCGCCTGGGATGGTGTTTGACAGGTCTGCGGCTTTGTGCCGAGAGGTCTCGAAAGCGATGGAGGTGTTTGGCTCGGCTCACAATCTCCTTCACGTCGGTGTCAATCTTGTCTAACCTAAGCGACCACTGCTCATCGATAGGCGCTCTTACCTTGCTGAGGTCGCCGACGAGGCTTGTCAGATGCAGACACGAGATGTTGTTGCCAAGATGCGCCTTTGCGGGTCCACCTAAGCGACAGAGGCGTGGCCTTGCCCCCCTGCCCCTCTGCCCGCATTCCGACTTGAGAACGGGGAACTTGCTACCACACCGCAGGAAGCTGATGCTAGCTGGTAAAGGCATTTCAGCTCTGTCGAGCATGGCGGCCCCGTTGATCCGGAGCTACTCGTCGAGGCTTGTCTCAGGCGGCAGGCGGCTCTTGATGTGCAGGATCTTGAGGTCACTTGTGATGAGTTGCCTACTACCCGTTGCGATCTTGAGGCTACCATGCGCTCGACCCAAACAAGACGAGCTGCCGGTAACGACATATTTCCAGCAGAAGTGTGGCAGGTTCAGACTCCATTCCTCTCCAATGTAGTTCAGGGCGAGGAAGAGCGAGAAGACATCAGGATTCAGGGCTTGGGGCGGGTAGGGGCCCCGAGCAGGATGTATTTAGTGTGTGGGTGTTAGGGGTGGCCCCTTTCCAAAGTAGAGGTCACTCTTCCACAGCACCAGCAGGACACACAGCAGGAAAACCTCGGCTTTTGAAGTAAAGCACAGAAGACCAAATTCCCAAAGCGCTTCTCGAATCCCCACAACACCCTCCCCTCAGAGACTGCCGAAAAGCTTTCAGCACTCCCAGGTGGAGCAGTTTCGGCGCAGGGCAATTGTTCACGGTTGCGAAAGGGCTTGAGCTACCTGCAGTTGTGTTGTAGTCCAAGTAGCAGCTCTGGTTGCACAGTGGGACATGCACGGGAGTTGCACATATTCGGAATCATCGAAAGTTGTGGCACTGCAAAGGAATCAAGCACAAGCTGGCAATCCCGAATATTGCAGCGACGTGCCACAGCACTTGCTCGCATGACTGTTCAATCACGACTCATGAGCACAGCTTTGTCATGCCAGGTGAACAGCACATGGCGTGGCAGACCTGATGCCGGGGGCTTCAGAAGGCCTGCCCTAGCCAGGCCTCGTTTGCCCATCTGCTGTAGATGTACCTTCAGCCAAGTAACCACAGCTTCACAACCAAAGATTTCTTCGTAGCATCTGTGCAGACAGCGTGCGAATCACTTCAGCGTTCTTGCTGCTGGGGTGCATGCACAGACACACACTCTTGAAGTATGCAGCACTTTCACACGAGTGAGCTCGCATGGTCAGCACACGGCAACGCCAGGATCATCGTGATTCGCCGGAGACACAAGCATCTAGCGTGAGTGAGCACCACCCATGCAGTTCCCCAGCTGAACTCAGAAGTTCCCGAAAGCCCTACCGCGTTTAGGTTAGGCAAAGCAAAGCGGAGCTAGCCTAGATGAAATTATGGTCTTCGGATACTTAATCAAAGAGTCTATGCCACATAGGAAGACAATCTATTGAGATGTTCATCATGGGGCTCAGGCTTCTGTATGGATGCACCCACACACAGGGCTTCCCTCTTGCGGCAGCTAACTAACTCAGACAAAACACAAGAGCTGTGCTCGGATAGCTGGTCTCATCATTCGATGTAATCCCAATGCACAAATCCCGCAATTACCCTACGTCCAAAGCTTCAAAAAACATATCTTTCTCCCCAAGAGCTCATGGAAGCCAGGCTCTCGAGGGCCAATTCCACTATCGACCCAGCGAGCTCAGGCATACATCCAGTAGACAGCCTGCCCAAGCCAGCCTCCAAGTTTCTGGGTTCGTCTATGTGAAAACTAAGTCACATGTTTTCACAGCACATGGTTTTCTGCGTGAATCCTGCCTCGGCCTCGGTTCGGGTGCCATTCTCACTGACAGGTGCAATACTGTCATGGAAACCTTTGGTAATGGCCATCCACAAATTCTCGGAATCGCTTCCCTTGATGGAGGCTTGGCACCACGGGCAAAGGTTCGTGGATAGTTGAAGGTATCATTCTCATCAACCTCAGGAACGGAATCATGACCCCCAGCACGAGCCCTTCCCACTTGCTACTTGGGCCTGGATCTGCCTGCCGGCCAGCAGCCGCAACAGCTGGCTCTGGAGCAGCTGCCGCCTTGCTCTTGTCACGGCCGCGTTTGGCCTGGCTTGGACAACCCTTTCTCTTGGCCAGGCCCCCTCCCATTGAGCCCACTCCTCTTCGGTCCACTCGGCTGAAGCATCCCAGAGAGCCCGCTCCTCTTCGTTCCAATCACCTGAACCATCCCACTGAGCCCACTCCTCTTCGTCCCAATCATCTGAGCCAGCCCCCTTGGGCTCACCATGACTTGAACTCGAAGGCTTGGCACTCGGAGCAGTCTTATTTGTCTGCTTCGTGATGCCCTGCTTGGCGCCATCGGAACTCCGGCCTCGAGCAGGCTTGCTCTCAGCGTCCACAGCAGAGGCTTTGAGGCGAAGCTGAGCATCTCGTGTCAGAACTTGCCAGGACATACTAGGGGGAAGGACAGGGTGACAACCCCTGAATCTTCATCAGAACACCACACCTGCTTCTCTGGGGTCCATTCCTCCGTGTACAGCAACTCGGGAGGCTTCGGCTTCGGTTGGCTCCGGCGATGTCAGCGGCTCCACGGGCTGTACTGCTAAAGCTGGCGCGGGGGGCAAATCATTCAAACCTTCTTGCTTCGCAACAGATTTCTCGGGTGTGTCCAGGTCTATCGCAGAATCGCAGTGGAAGCTCGGGCCAAGGGCAACCTCGGAAGTCCATCCCACGGAAGTGTGTCCGTTGCATCCATGGAAGCCGCCCCGGTCCTTGTCTCTGTGACAGTCTTGGCAGACCCTGAAAATCAAGCAAAACGTGTTAAAGGGTTTTTTTGAGTGAAGCTAAGATTCGGTCGGTGCTATCGCCTTTCATGGCATCGGCCCGCTTCCTCAGAATGATTCCCCATTCGTGGTTTAGGGTGCAGACTCTGCCAGCGATCTACATAAACAAATGCACCAAATACTGAAAAGGCTCAGCTCGGACAACTTCCTAGCAGTCGCAGACAACAAAGCCTTCAACTGCAAATTCCTTGCTTTTGCTCTGGCCGCCTCCGTGTCACCTGTAACGGCTGCTGATCTTACTGGGGCTACTGTCGTCTCACCCAAGTGCCCTGTGCTGGAGGCCACTGTCGTCTCACCCAAGTAGTCTGTGCAGGCCACTGTCGTCTCACCCAAGTCCCCCTGTGGAGGCCACTCCCCTGCTGTGGTGGAGGCCACTGTCGTCTCACCCAAGTGCACTGCTGTGGAGGCCACTGTCGTCTCACCGGAGGCCACTGTCGTCTCACCCAAGCCCCTGCTCAAGGCCACTGTCTCACCCAAGCCCGGCACTGTGTCACCCAAGCCCCCTGTGATGGAGGCCACTGTCTCACGCAAGCCTGTGATTGGGCAGGCGGCGGCGATCGCCATCTCATCCTCATCCACATAGGGTGTCAAACTCGTAGCTCATCATCTATTTCAGACAATCCTTCCAGCGTCCCAAGCAGCGACCGAGGCCCAATATCAGGTCAATGTCATCGACCGAAAAATGCTCATGAACCTCTGGGGCTGCCAAACCCTTTCTGAAGCAGCTGTAGATCCGGAAGTCTCTGCAACATCCCTGGATCTTTGATTTTAGGGTCAGGATGCAAGTTGCACAAACGAATTGACAGGTGCCAGCTCAAGGTTCGGCTTTCGAGCACTTTATCCCACGGCCAGAATGACCATGACCAGGGTCTATTCGGCGCGACCAATAATAACAGGGGCACAGGTTATAATATATAATATATAATATATAATATATAATATATAATATATAATATATAATATATAATAGATGTAATATATAATATATAATATATAATAGATATTACATATAATATAAAAATATATAATATATAATATATAATATATAATATATAATACAAAAATATATAATATATAATATATAATATATAATATATAATATATAATATATAATATATAATATATAATATATAATATATAATACAAAAATATATAATATATAATATATAATATATAATATATCATATATCATATATCATATATCATATATCATATATCATATATAATATATCATATATCATATATCATATATCATATATCATATATAATATATAATATATAATATATAATATATAATATATAATATATAATATATAATATATAATATAATGGGTGTGTGTGTATGTACACACATACGTACATGCATACACACACACACACACGCACGCACGCAATAAACTGTGACTCCAATACGATGCACGGGCAAAGATGCCCATCGATAATGCAGCTCCCGGACAGTTCCTTTCAGTGTGGTTCAGGAGATACCAATGATAATGCCGACCGTAGGAATTCCTTCATTTTTACATTTTTTGATAAGTCTCCGCGAGAACCGAAAGTCCAGTACATGGCACCTAGTTGTATTGCGGACAAGGACGACATGGACGACGAACTCGACAAAAGCAGGCGATTGGATCGGATGCGGAAGCAGCTGGAGGCGATGCTTGCATTGCTCGAAAGTTCTTGTGTGCATGTAAGCAGATAATAGAGAGATCCACATGCCAGGAACAGCAGCGCCAGCTCGAAGAACGTGCAGCTGGGATCAAGTCAGTACGTGTGCAAGCATGTTTCGTGTTGGCTTGTCCGCATGTCGGGCAGTGTGTAAACAACTCGCAGAAAGGACGACGAAGCTTAAACAAGCGTTGCCTACAAATCGCTTGCCCTTTCGATGGAGAAGGGGCTGTTGCCAAGGCTCGGCAGCTCCTACAAGGCCAGCGGCTGCACCAGGAGATTTCACACAGCACGTTGTGTGAATTCGAAGGCTTTTCCAGATGTCCACTGAAGGAAGGCCGTTTAGTTCGCCGTGGTCCCAGCCGTCTCAGCCAGGACGACCTGCAGGAGCTGGAGACGTATCAAAAGCAGCAGCTGCAACAGCTTCGTGACTGCAGTCAAAGAATGTCCAAAGGAGAAAAAAAGGCTACCAAGGCTACCAAGGACCAAACTGAGAGCCTCGTGCGAGTAGGCCTGAACATCCAGTGTCTCGGTCAGAACGTCCCGGCCGGAGTTGACTTCAGCTCAGCTCAGCTGAATGCGACCATATTCCTGCCACTCCAACGGACCCACAAAAACTGAAAGTTCACCGGGATGAGGTCCAATGAGCACCCTCCAGTCTTAACGCCAAGTGGTATGAAGGATTGACAACACGTACCCGTGTAGTTTTCTGGAACCCGAGGTTTGATGAACAGCAGGAGCAGATGCAACGGGGAAGCGAGCTTTCGCCTGAGGCCGCATTGCCGAGCATGTCGCATCATCATGGCTCGCCGCGCACTCCGCGAGTCCGGCATCAGGAATTGGTGTCACTGGAGCTGCCAGCAACTTCCCTGCCTGTGATCTCGGAGCATCCTGAGTATTCACTGTCACTCGCCCTGGCATCTCCTGGTGTCAGCGGTGGTTTTGGGGCTTTCGGTTCTGTCGGATTGGATCTGAGGTTGGATGAGATGCAGCAGCAGCAGATGCAGGAGCTGCAAAGACTTCAGTTCCAGTGGCAGCTCCTTGGCTTCGACGGATGCACTTCGTGAAGAGGCACAGAAAATACAGATCCCTGAGGCACGAACAAGAACAGCTTCAGCAGAAGCTACAGGAAACGCTGCGGCTGCCCGAGGACATGCTGGCAACTTTGTGAGCTGTGGAAGAGCGGAGACGATACTGAGACGGTGCAGGATCGGCGATGCGCAAAGGCAGAGCTGCAAGACACCGACGAGGACGGAAGCTGGAGAGGATGCTCTAGGACTCGAGGCAGTCAAGCGCCGATGCCAGGTGTCCAGGTGCTGTTACCTCAGCTGGGTCCCAGGGGTGCCTCGCACAGGAGTCGAGCGAGCTCCCGGCAGAGACCTCCCTTCAGCTTGCGCCGTCTCCACAGGAGAAGCTCGCCGCCTGGAGCCTTGGTTTTGAGACCGAGCAGTCCAGGATCAGAACGAGGAGCCGCAGCCAGCGCCGCTTTCGTCACAGGAGTTGGGGTTGACATGTCTCTCGCAGAGCCTTGCCTGCGTTGATTCCTTGAATCAGACTGGAGGAGGCCGAGGAGCAAACGAAGCAAGACGCGCTTGCAGAGACGTTGCAGCCGCATCCTGCCCAAGAAGCCACGGCTGAAGCCAATGCCGATGGTGAAGTCTTCTCCGAGCAAGAGACTGACGCGGTCAAGACAGTGCGGCCAGGGCTTGAACACCTGGATGCGGCGCTTGCCGCAGCTCGGTGCAAGAGGTGCTTAGGGAGACCTGGACCGGGCAGTATGTACACACTCAGACTGACGATTCCGGACGCTTGTCTTTGACTGCGAGTGAAGCTGAGGCCTTACAGAAGTCGTATCGATCCTCGCACCACTCTGCGTACGAGCAGCACACAAGCTTTCTGGACAAGATGCTTGATTGAATCACAGAATCGCGTATTCGTTATCCTTCGACAGCGTGGTGATAAGACACGAAAAGTGTGAATGACCGGTGTAGATTCGGGATGATTCGGGTATCGTAGTTCGTCTTCCACAAAGAAGCTGGAAGAAGTTGAGGATGCTGCTATTCCTTATCCAGGACCCAGCACCGCCCCACCTCAGTGGCCAGACCGCTGTGTAAACAACCACGAAGGGCTGACGAAGGGTTCATAAGATGAGAGCAGGTGCACACATTGACTGGTGTTTCGATATGTTCTGATGGCGTGATCGCAGCGCAAACTCTGTACGGATTGTGCAGGAGATGACACACTCCAGCTGACATGCTGCGACATCCTGCCGCTGCGCATCTCAGGATTGGCCAGCTACTTTGCGGAGCATTATGTTCTGTCGTTTTGGGCAAGCTCTGATGCAGTGGCGGTCGCTACACTGCAGAGCGTTTGCCTGTCTTTTTGCAAGGTTCGATCAGCGCTGCCTTGCTCTTGCAGCTAACCTGAATCAGTGTTTCGCATCGGGATGTCTGTTTATCTGCCGGGCAGTTGTTGATTTCTACTGAAAGGTCACGCAAGTGGAGCTGAGCAACATGCCGCAGACTTCATCAGCAGGAGCTAGCGCCGAGGAAGGTGGAACAAGCTTGATAAGCCTGCGTGATTCGCACATATAAGTACATAGTGATACAAAGTGCATATAGCCTAGCGGAATGCAGTTGCACAAGCTATCTCGTCGTCACCATCAGAAAGAGTGTATGCGAATATACTTACACTGATCACAGGTACTTGGATCTGTTGGCGTAAATCGGGTAGAAGACGAGCAAGCGGTCGCTGTTTTATCCTATAATGCTCAGTTTCACGGAAGATCCGGAAGATAAGCGAGAGAATCGTTCCCGCCAGCAGCTGCACACATCAGTCTCTCCGAATATCCATCCGTGGCTCACAAAGGGTTCAGTAAGCCAGAAGCCAGCGCGAGGCGGTCGGTCAGATGTGCTCCAACTCGGCTCCCTTGTAGAGAAGCTGACAGAGTTCATCGCATCCCGGCGAGTTCAGAGAAAGTCCCACACGCTGTCCAGCGAAGTCAGAATTGGCCCTGGCGTTAGCCAAGGGAATGTCCTCAAAGCCGGAGCCCTGGATTGCACCGCACTGTCCCAAGCCGGCACCGGGCTTCTCATAAGGCCGGCAGATAAAGAAGCTCCGGTCTCTCCATCACCGCAGGCGAATAGCAAATCTACACAGCCGCATGCCCGCTCTTGCCATCTGTCGATGCATCTGAAAGGAGCGGGTGACGCTTTCCGGAAGGAGTTGGAAGCTCAGCAAACACTGCAGTCTGAGAACCTGTGTTTTTTTCGCGGCTGCAATTGCAAGGAAGATGGCCTCCAGGTCCACAAGTGCGACCAGGCTGTTCGCATGCTTTTGCTCTTGCGCTTTTAGCTGCTTAGCCGGGATTGTCGTAGGCCCTCCAGCTCCAGGACCTGAGTCCGCGGAGTAGGTTGCAGGAAATGTGACTGTGGATTTCTCCAACTCAAACAAATCACCGGCTCCTGACGAGCTAACAGCAAGTTAGGCGATACAGCAGGATGTGTTTACCTTCTCTAAATTACGCACGTACCGCAGGATCAAGTTAACGCCAGTCTGCGTTGCAGTGTGTTGTCAATGTCAAAGGGCCAGTGCGCACGGCGCAAGGCACTGTGCCATGGATGTTATTTGCTAATGACGATCTCGATGCTGCAAAGTCTGGCAGAAAAATGCTATCTGCCGCCCGACTGCCCGCATGTTTCAGAGTAGCTCGATGCCAGCCAGCTTCTGAACTTGGGCTCAAGCCACTGTACCTGGAACAGCGCGAAAACGCATGGCAAGCAACGGCAAGTAGCAGAGCTTGAGTACGGGAAGCCTGCAAGTCGTGTGGTTCTTAAGTTGATGGAACCTATGGCGCTGGGTGAGGATGCCATTCGCAAGGTCCATCGGTGGGCTCAGAACCGTTACCCTCCGCGACATGAGAGAACTCGTGCCGAATTACCCTTATCACCACAAAGCTTCGCCAATGCCCTGTCACCGTACGTTGGTGTTGCTATCTTGGATTGGCAATGCAGCACAGTAAGCCGTGTCGTGCCGTCGCGTAAAGTAATGGGGTTTGCTTCAAATGAATGGCAACTGCCGGCGTGAGAAAAGGTGGATGTAGCACCAGTCAGTGCTTGCATCAGCTCGTTGCTGCGCCTTCGTGCCCATGCCGTTGACCGTGACCATGCTACAGCTTGAAGCACAGAGCTCTTCTGAAACATGTAAACAGCGCCGTTGAAACGAGGATAGTAATGCTTATAGCGGCAAGACGACCCGGCCGATGGCGCAATGATGTCAATTGATACTCTCGACGGTTTCGATTGCGGAAGGTGGCTGCGGTGGCTGCAGCCTTTCTTGCATGAGAATCCTTCAAAACGAGAGAGAGGCAGAGGCGCAGCTTTGCTTGCGCAACTTGCATGCAGAATCGGAAGCCTCGGACCTTGGAGGAGCTTGTTTTGCTGGAAAAGGAGTTGGACTTCTTTCGGTGCAACTCGCGCTTGGCCACGTCGGTGCTCCAGCGGTTAACCAAGGAGCTTCGGCAAGAAGCCTCAAAGCCTCAAGCTGCACTCAAGGCCTCACCCGAAACAGTCTAGTGAGGTAGTGACGGTATAATGCTGTGTTTCTGCTTTTGGAGGAGAGAAAGTTTCAAGTCGCCTGGTGGCTCTTGCGCAAATTGCAATTCAGTGGTCTGCAAGCGAACGAGAATGAACGGCGTTCGCGTACCCGTTCACGTGCCTTCCACTACGGAGCCGTCCTGGGAGCTTTGGGCGACAGAGACTGGGAGCAGGCGCTCTCCTTGATCGGCTTGGCAGAGGCCGAGGAGGCGCCTTTGGATGTGATCGGCTACAACGCAGGCGCCAGCGCATGCAACAGGGCTACTGGTAGCAGCTGGAGGCAGTCCCTGAAGCTGCTCTCTGCTCTCTCTGCTCGTAGCATCAGGCCAAGCGAGATCACGTACCATGCGAAATTGACTGCACGCAGACAGTCAGGAAGTTGGCAGCCTGCACTCTACTTGCTGTCTGGGATGCCTCTGGCAGGATTAGTTCCAAGCCTTCAGAATTCCAACGCAGGTGTGAGTGCATGTGAAGCCGGCAGCCAATGGGAGGCGGCCATCTGTCTTTTCACCTCTGCGTCTCACCATGATCTGGTCGGATTCAACGCTGTGATCAGCGTCTGTGGCAAAGCTTCGCGTTGGGAGAGAGCCCTCCAGCTGTTGTCACAGATGCCAGCAGCCATGCTCCAGCCTGATGAGGTCAGCTATGGTGCAGCTGTTGATGCGTGTTCTCGGCAAGGACTGTGGCAGCAGTCTCTGCAGATTATCGCAAACCTGCTTGCGCGACGATCTGCTGTCAACACGTTTTGTTGGAATTCGATAATAAGTGCATGTGGGTGTGGCGGCGACTGGCAGCTCGCGGCATCGGTGTTCTGTCAAATGCAGGTTCACGATGCTTGATTGCAGTGGGATTGCCGAGAGTCCTTCGGAAGTTAGTGGCATAAGGTTGTCGGACGGTTCAGATGATGAATGCGCAAAGTGCGAAACTGGCAATTTGCAGATATTGGTAGTTGAACGCACTTCTGGTGCTTCGAAGCAGGCTAAGATCGGATCGGACTCCTCTTCTTGTGCCTCTGAGGGAGTGTCCGCCGACGTCGTCAGCTTCGGGAGCTTGATCTCTGCTTTCGAAGGAGGTTTGCGGTGGGAGTTTGCATTGGATGCACTGGATATCATGAACCGTTCGGAGGTGCCTTGAATGCAGGGACATGTGGCTTCTGTACAAACTGTCTTTTGCTCGGTTTGTTGGCAGCAAGCAAGTGGCTCCCATAGCCGGAGCTAGGCAAATCATCGTAATTCTCGTTTCTCCATTGCCAGGTTGTACCAGATTCTGCGTGTTTCAATGCAGCCATGCGTGCTTGCAAATCGGCGTGGGAACTGGCTATTCTGATACTGCATGGCATTTCTCGGCCGGATGTTATCAGCTACAGCTCTGCCATGTCTGCCTGCGAAAAGCCGGGGAGATGGGACATTGCAGCACGCTTGCTCGAAGATATGCGCTTGCAACTGCTGGAGGCAGACGTGATTTGTTGGAGCTCGGGAATCAGCGCCTGTGAGAAATCAGGGTACTGGGAATTGGCGATACGCCTACTGCATGACCTTCCTGCAACACGCTGCTCACCTGACACCATTTGTATCAATTCGGCACTCAGTGCCTGTGAAAAGGCCGGAAAATGGCGATCCGCGTTGCAGCTCTTCCTCAGTTGCTTTATAATGCATGTACGGACAGACACGATAAGCCTGAATGCTGTCCTCAGTGCCTGTGAGAAGGCTGGGCAGTGGCAAATGGCGTCACATCTTCTTGAATCTGCGGCTCTGCAGAAGATTGAGGCAGACACAGTATCATACAATGCTGTAGTGGCAAGCTGTGAAGATGGAAAGTGGGAATTTGCTCTGGAGCTGCTGTGCGACATGCTAGCTGCAAGCTTGCTGCCAGATAGAATCACGTACAACGCTGCCATAAGTGCTTCAAAAGACGCTAGCTGGTGGCATGCGGTATCACTGCTGCACTCTATGATTTCTGGGCGCAGCTCACCAGATGAAGTGAGCGTTGGCGGTACCATGACAGCACTTCAGCAAGGACGGGACTGGCACGCAAGCTTGTCTTTGATCAGAAATATGTCCGAGATACAAGTTTATTTGAGCCCGTTGGTCTACAGCGTGGCAATTTCCACATGCCAACTCTGTCAAGAGCATTTGCAAAGCGCTGCTCTATTTTGGCAGATGCGCAGGAAATACCTTCAGGCCGTTTCACCATGCTTGCATCCTCGTCAGAAACCGGTCCTGTGTTGGTGCTGGGGTTCTTTTGTGAGGTCGCTTCACACGGGTCCGCGTCGGCGGGTACTGCAGGATGAGGGTGGGGCCTAGGGCCTTCGTGGCCGCATCGGGATCGCAGTCGAATCCTCATCCACACGCATGCAAGGCGCAGGCATGGACCCACTCGAAAGTGACCCACTCGACAGCCTGTCTTCGAGAAAACTGTGTGAATGAATAGATCCTATACGTCCATGCTCATCCATCTCGTTTGGATCTCATGTTTCTGATTGTTGTTCCCCCCTGTCTGGGAAGGGCGGATTTCAGCCTTGCCTTCGCAGCTTGGTGTCAGTTGCCTACATGTCCGCACGTTTCCATGGAAAAAGGTCATCCAAGCAAAGCTCCATCGATTCTCCGGAGTGAGTCGGGCTTTCGGCATCTTTCGGCTCTCAAGGGCTAGCCGGCTAGCCAGCCTGCAGCTGAATATCCCTAGACTCTTGACTCTATAGGTTCAGATGCTATGAAGTCTCCTGAAAGCCCAGCAGGATCTTGCCGGCACAGTCTACACAGCGCAGTGATTCGATGTTTCATCACAGGTTCTCATCAGGAAGGCAGGATGAAGCCTCGTGCGATGTCGGAAAGACCAAGCTAACACTGTGGAAAGAGGCGCAGGAGGAGATGCGCCTTCCAGGACGTGACAATGCCAGATGCAGAAGGTCTATGCCGGGGAAGCGCGAGAAGATGCTATCAACTCTATCATCCAGCTGACCTGTAAGAGTCGTCTTCGTGGCACCGTCGCTCTGAGGAAGTTGGCGCAGGACTGACTTGCGCATTTCCTCGTTTGAATAACTCTGCTGACAACAGTAAGCACTCTGAGCTGCCATGCGCTGCCAGGATGGAAATCCCTCCGTCATAGATCGCGTGCTGCAAGGTGTGAAGAAACGTTCTTCGGCTGCAGACGGAGTCACCGTAGCTCGTTCTTGCGAGAGAGCTAGAGATCTCTCAGGTTTGGCAGAGACCGATGTCATCCTGCAGAGTGTCTTGATCGTGGCTTGTGCAGAGAGGGGTGACTGGCAGCTCGCGATCAGCTCATTGCGGACCATGCGACTGGATGGTCTGGAGCCAGACGATGTGAGCCACAACTGCGCTCTGACCCCGGAAGAGCGCAGCCGTGCACAGCTTCACATTTGGACTTCCATCCCGACATTGCCCCGAACGAGGTTGTGCAGGTAGCTGGCAGAGCTGGTTTATGGGAAGTCGCAGAGACACTTGGAGAACTTCCGCTAATCTCTGACAGTGGCGACCAGGCGAGATTTCCCCAAGCAGTGCTTCAGGACGGTGCTGGAAGGAAGCACCAAGAGGACTTCCCGCAGCTTGCAAGTGCTGGCCTCGGTCATGCAGCCTGGAGCTTTTAAGGTCCGTGTTGCAGCCGTTGCAGCCTGAGGCTGCTGTCGGTTTGTACGACGGTGAGCGATGGGCCGTGGCCTTGCCCCTCGGCAGCACAGCCTGGCCGCCTGGCCGAATGATGCTGAAATTAGCGCTTGGCACAGGACTTGCCTGAATGCAGCGCGTCTTGAGGGTGTCCGGCCAGGTCTGGGCTGTCGTGGCCTGAGCTGTTCCCTCACTTGTTTTCCGCGTGATGTGCGAAACGCAGCCAAATTCACGAAAGTGCAACAATCGGTGTGGAGTAGGGAAATGAGGCCGCTATAGTACACCGGTACCTGTCCTGCAGGGCGGGTGGATTCGACAAGGGGCCGGAAAAGACGGGGGAGCCTGGGCTCGAGACTGAACTCCGCGACTTGCAGACTGATCAACCCCGCCTGCAGCTGGCAAGTCTAGTGAGTCTAGTGCGTGTCGCACCGTCCTTTGCTAGTTGGTCCACCGGCACACCTCCCAGCAGTGTGATGCCAGCGATGGCGGCCTCAAGGTTGTCCGATGTCTCCGATGTTAAGTCGTGCGGAGAGCCGGCGGACGGCTTCCCGGGAAGTCGATATCGTGGTTTACTTAGTCGAACGTTTGTTGTGGCCTACTGACTATTGCTGATTTGCCTTGATCAGCTGATTCCAGCCTTGTTCGGAACGGCGGATGTGGGTTTGTCAGCTTGAAGTTATGGAAGCAGAGGTGTCTTATGCCGCGAAAAAGCAAATCACCAACGACTCCATTGCTTGCTAGTCAAAAGTTTCTGGTTGGTTGGACGTTGACGTGTTTTGGCTGGCTGAGTGGAGCGCGTGTGCGCGTTTGCCCGCATGCTTACTCACCAATTCAAGCCTCGTGGCCAGCGGTCTCTGCGCCAGTCTGGACTCTTGTCGGACACCGGTGGTCATGCGACTCCACTGCGCTATGCTGGTATCCACTCTGCACCCAAGGTGCTCCCGCACTGTCCTGTGTGCCATTGTCGCGATGTGACGCTGTTACATCTGCTCAAATATTGTATTCAAACACGATCGCTCAGGCGATCTTTCAGGATTGAGACCGTGGTCACCGACAGCTTTTTTTTGCACAATATTTTCGCCACGAGACCTTCCACCGACAGTCGCCAACTGGATGGGCCAATCAAATTTACAGCAGAGTGTATTCGCCTGGCGGCTGCAAGGCTAGATGCACAGGCTTTTCCTTAGCCGCCTTCTGAAAGATGCTGCGCGGTTCAGGTTCAGCTTGGAGCTGTGTGCATCTCTGCCTTGTCTGTGTTGGAACCCTTCGCCCGTGATGGCGTAGCTTCCTGTGCAGCCTGCCCTCGCTTAAGCAACCTAGCTCCCCAGGCCCTCTCCGTCGTATTGCCTCTAGATGTTTAGGCTCGCCCGGAGTTCGCTAGCAATGCTCTAGCTCCGCCTGACCGAGTCCCACAAAGTCACAAAGTCACAAAGCACAGGTGTTTTCCACATTCGTGAGGAGTCGACCTGTGTCCTCTTGGCAAGGCTGGACGATGAACAAACAAGGTAGAGGACTGCTGTTGCCACAGCCCAACCCCCACACAAGATACTCGTTCACCGGGCAAGCGGCTGTGTTTCAAAGCGCCGAGACCGCTGAGAGGCGTGCTGCGCTCGCAGGCACAGACACAGCGCAGGCGTTCAACACATGTCTATAGAGCATATACTGTAGAGCCCAACTTGAGAAGAGTCGAAAGGCGCACCGGTTGACTTGGTGTGGGTCAAATGGCGCAGCACATCTTCCGGCAATTCCACAGTAGCGTTCTCTGTCGTTGACAACAATTTTGTCGTCACGGACGGCGACATGAGGAGTTTCGGTGAGGTCCTAGCGGTGAACAGATCGCTCGAAGCATGAACTCATACATGTTCTCAAGCATGTGTGCATATGTTGATAGACTTCGAGGCCGCGATTGCCGCAATCCAGCACCTGCATGCATGTGTTTGCCGTCTCTTCCATGGTTTGCACCCGGCGTTGCGTGCATGTGGATCGCTTGATGCCGCTGTGTGCGCACGCTGCAACAGCCTCACGTGCTGACACCGCTGCTGGCCAGCACAGCGTGCAGACGTGTCCGGTCGTCAAGGTAGCAGTGGTTTCAAGACTTTGCTGGCTGACGGGCAAAGTGGCGTGCTTTGCAGCTTTTGTGCTGGAAAGCTGAAGGCTCACCTCGCTTCTACAGCCCCAGTGGGAGTCTTTTGAGAGTGCTTGTACTGTGTCTGCATGCGCGTGCCAGTTCTGTATTCCTTGACCCACAAGGCTTACTCTTGTGTTTGAACTGGCAAGGATGGCATGCTGCTTTGCCAGCTGCCCCAGCACTCGAAAAAATCATGAAATGGTGCATCAGTCCACGAAGTTGGAGAAAAACAAGCCCCCAATTGTGTTCACAATGCTGCCGTCCCATGCTGAGAGAGCAACTTCACTTTTTGCAGATCTGTCACGTCTAGCTCTATGTTTGTGCACACAAAACAGGATCGGCGTGTGGTGGTTTTCTGGAGACATTTCCAGGATGCTACACGTCAGACTGTAATCCTCTAGACAGTCTGAAGCGGTCAAACACTATGGGTCTAGCTTGAAAACCGAAAATCAATACAAGCTGTAAGTGAACCATGCCACAACTGTTGGCAGTTCAAAATTCAACATGCGAAGTTTCACGGCCCCTGTTCGAAAAGTGTTCTTAGATGCCCCACGCACGCGCATCCAGTATGAGTTATGGAGTGTAAGGCGGAATTAGGCGACTGTGTATGTTGGCACGCCCCTCTTCGGTACAGAGACTTTGTTCCAAAGACCGGCATCGAATGTAGGCTGAAAAAAGGACTCGTCGAATGCTTCTTAGCAGCGTGTCTGCAAACCGCTGTCGTGACCTGGTACGGATGCTTGTTGCGAGCAAGCGCATCGAATGTAGGCTGACGAAAGGGTCCGACGAATGCTTTCTATTGCATGCATGTCTGCAAAGCGCTGCCATCATGTGAGCCTTCTTTCGTACCAGCCCCTCCTCCACAAGTTAGCCTGTGATAGCGAGATTGTGCATGAGTTCACCCCAGCTTCGCAGAATGCCTCGCCGAGGCCACAATGCAGCTATCGCTTCCTCCCGGTCCTGTTGGACTCTGCCGCTGCATTTGTTGGCAAGATTGCCTCAAGCAGAGGCAGGGCGCAGTTGAGGGCACGTTTGCATCTCAGAGGGCTTGGAACGCGGCCAGGTGAAGCCCGATCTGGTCAGTTGCAACTCTGCTATAACCGATGCAACCTCTGCAAGGTCCTGCTTGGCCCACTTGTGCTTGGGGCTTTGAATGTACCCTGCGTCTCTCTGCGACCTCAGTCCTGAAGGCAGGCGGCATCTGCATGGCGAGCTGCTCTCCGCTTGCTGCTACACGCGATCGACTTGGGCCTCCAATTGCGGCAGCTTTCTTTCTGCGTCCCTCGACTCTAGCCTAGGGCCTAGGCTCATTCGGCAGGAAGGGGCCATTGATTCTGTATTTTTGTTGTGGCACCAGAGGCAAGCATCAGTGTATGTGGGAAAGCAGGCTTCTGGAAGTGCAGGCCTCGGACGTCCGATACTTCGAGCTCCTAACCCATGTCAAAAACCACCCCGCTGCGTTGTTTTGCGATCTGCCGCAGATCCGTGCAGTGGTCATGCAGTGCTGAGGCAAGCGGTAGGGCTCCTCGGGCGCGCACTGCGCTCGCAGCTCTCGGCCGACAAGAAAATGATAACTTCAGCCGTCTTGGCTGTAGAAACACAATGGAAGCTGGCATTGCGTCTTTGGGCAATGACCATCCGGAACCGCTTCTTTCGGCCTGATGCCCTCTGTCGCGGGCTCAGAGTTTGTTTCTTCTAGTTGCTCTAGTTCTATAGGTCCACGTTCTTAGAGAAGGGACAGTGCCAGACACTGGGAGTCTGGATTGCAAGCGCAAACAAGCCGGTGCTTGCACCTAAGTCATAAAGAATCGTTTTCTAGAGCAGGACCGTGTTTGGTGTTACTTGGGATAATCTGCGGCATCGTGTAAAAGCTACAGTCTTCACAAGAAAGCTCGTGATTTTCCCAAGAGAAGCATGAATTCCACAGCTTAAACCACGTAACGGTCAATCATAAGCTCTCCGGTTCGCATGAAGCAGCACCTTTGCAGCACGATCAGCCCATCACAGGGGTAATTTGATGACCCCGGGAGCCTGACTTGCCTCCGTACCTCAGGTCTGAATTGCGTGCTTGCGGCTTGTGCCAAAGGCAAGTCTTGGCACGTGGCGGCATATTGCTTGCATGAAGCATTGAGAAGCTCGGCCAATATCCAGATTCCAGATAACACCTCCTGAGGTGCAGGTCATAGGAAGAAGCAAATTCGGTGCGATCATTTCCTAGCACTTTTAGCGACTCTTGGTAAACGCAAACATTGCTCCACAATCTTGCATTTTCTTGCACTGGTGGTAATGACTGCGCTGACATGGACTGGGTTTCCAATCGACGTTCAGATTAATGTCAAAGTGACAGACCGGCACAGCCAAGGTATGTGTCTGAGAGTCGATGTCGCGAACTGAGTGGCAATCAACTGGAGTTTGCTGTTGTCTTCAGAAATTGAGTTTTCCTGCCACATGTTGTAACTTACTGCCTCTGTTCCACTACCATCCGAGCCCACCTGCCAGAATCTGGCCGCAGCTAGCACTCTGTGGAGCTTGACAAGCACTGCGGAGCTTGACAAGCACAGCTTGGCCCCTTGTGAGCCTCGCATCAGCGGAATGGCGGCAAAGAAAATGAAGCTTACACAGCAGAGCACATGCAGTGGCAGCAGCAAGTTCATGCACGATTCGAACACCGCCGCGATTCAAACCATGCGAGCGCAAGCCTGATTCAAACGCGGCGGATTCCAGCAGCACAGCCGATTCAAGCATTCCCGCTTTAAGCACTGACGATTTGGGGCATGGTGCAGTCTTGATTTAGGGTTTCTGCGGTTGAGGTTCTGAGGCTTTGATGTTTTTGGACTTTGGGGTGTTTAGGCTTGACGGCTAAACAGGGCGTGGTGCAAGAACTTGGGTTGCGATTGTGTCTTTGAGGGTTTTAGGTTTGTAATGTAGGGTTCCAGCCGCATTAGGGTTGAATGCTGTTGGGGTCTGGCTTTCATGGATTTATTGTTTACGCTTTTGAATCTGAATCTAGTGTACGCCGAGAGGCATCGCGGTTTTGGACGTCCAGTGCTTTAAGCTTCCCGTGCCGGTGAGCATCCCATGCCTGAAAGCGGTTCCAGCTGGTACCCTAATCTGCCGAGCATTCATGAGACTGAGGAGATGTCCTTCAACATCGCTGCCGGCTCGAACCTCAAGAAGTCCCGAAAGCTGGACATTCCTACGCCTTGCGCTTGAAGGTGCCTGCAACGACGGGGGTGAGTGGGAGCTTGGGCTGGCCATTCTGAGTAGAGACTTGGTCGCAAGGCCCCCAGGCAACAACCCGGGTGTTCAACTTCTGTCGAAGGCATGGCCAGCTATGGGGTCAACCTGAGCCTGGTGAGCTGGAACACAGCCATTGCATCTTGCCAGCTTTGTGGCCAATGGCAATTGTCGCTGTCCATGCTGCAAACTATGCAAGATGCTTCAACTGCAGTCGGCCCGACTTTTTGATTTTGGTGCTAAGCTGTTATGAGTCACCATGTGTCTAGACTCTAAGACTGATCAAGACTGGCTGTTGGAAGGGTTTATTGACACGAGGACCATTCTGTCCGACCTGATGCGGTGAGCTTTGCTTCGGCGATATGTTCTTGTGCAGGGAAACAGTGGCGCCGGGCACTGCGTCTCTGGAACCTTCTGGAGCTCTGACGGCAAAGTTACATGGAGTATTTCGCTGCGCAGTCATCAGTCCCCCGTTTATGAAACACTCCCCTCATGATAAAACAACGTGTTTCGGAACCCGCCCGAAATCATCGTCGCCTTACCTAATCTGGGTCAGGGCTGTTCAGGAGCAACAGCAAGACCAGCAGCAAGAGCAACAGTAGGAGAAAAGGCAAGAGCAAGAGCAGGAGCAAGCACAAGAGCAGGAGCAAGAGCAGCAAGAGCGCGATCCCCGAAAGTAGCGATGGAGATTTGAAAAACTTGCACTAGTGGTGGGGAGGGCCCCCCCCTGGTGAAATATTTGGCGCACGGGATGACATCCGTTGCACACGAAAGTTCACAAACAACGAGCCGCATGTCGGCAGCCAAGGATGGACAGACCTCGCCGAATCTGGTTTGCATCAACAGGTCGCGTGCTGAGCAATGGAGTTTTATCAGTGGCAAAGCTCGTGCAGGTCTGCGTGAAATACTTGAACATGAACATGAGTTTTGTCAGTGCCTGTTCAGAACTGAGTTTGATCAGTGCCTGTGAGAAAGGGTCGAGCTGGAAGCATGCCGTTGAAACCCTGTGGACTATGCCGTCTGCGCAAACTCCAGATGATGCGAGCCTCTTGGCCCCCAGACCAGTCTCGCAGTTTCGCTCAGCCTTCTCAAACAACCCAAGGCTACAATGCCGCAATTACGGCGTGCCAGCAGCGACTGGCATGGCAGCATGTGCTCTGGACATTCAACCACATGGACAAGAGCTGGGCACCCAAATCCAAGTCGAGCGCTGTCAGCTCACAGATGAATGCCAAGTGTCCGGGCTGGAACCCAAGGTTTGCGTGACGAGGTCACGTACAACGCGGTGATTTTTGCTGCGAAGGCGAAAGTTGATTGGGAGCAGGTGCTCGAACTTCTGCGGCAGATGTGACTGGTCAGCCAAGTCGAACCAGTTCATGTTAACCTAGCTGCGTTAAGTCTGAGAGGCGGTTTCAATCCAAAAATGCTGAATTGCGAACCTGTGCGCAAATCGACCTTTCAAGGAGTATATCGCGCATCCAGCCCTTCGCTATGACCCACGAAGCTGCAGTTTCCATCTGCCTGGATTGCTCGCAGGGCGTTGCGGCAAGAACGCTCTTGGAGGACGTGGGCCTTCGTGGTTTGATTTGTGCAGTGTACGACTGTACGATGCAGCTATGGCTCGCAGGCTTGCAATGATACGATTTGGCGCAAGGGTTTCAGGATCAGAGCCTCTTACTTCTTGTGCCGAATCTTGACAGGAGACTAATGCCCAGTGGCTGAAAACCCTGGCCGCTTCCAGTTCGAGCTTGTCTTGAGTGGACGTGCCCCGTACGTGCTGAACCTCCGCCAGTTCCCCGTGCCAGCGAGGCGAGAGTTTTGTCGCCGGTGTCCCACGATGATTCGGATGTTTCTATTGCAGGGAAGCACAAGCTGGATGTGTCACGGTTTTCCAGCACACGGTATGTACA